TCTAAACTTGATTTTGATATTAAATGATTTATAAAATTTTATCTGTATAAGGTTTCCTTACTTAACCTTGTAAGTTTTCAAACAGTTAAGGTTAATCCTTTTATGCCATGACATCTTTTGTTATTAAATTAGTTATAAATATTATGGTAGCTCTATCTTAAGGTTAAGTGCATGCTAATAATGTGTTTAAAAATTGGAGGTTTTACAGCAAACGCCTAAGAGATCCTCTTTCCAGCCTTCTTCCTCTAGGGGTTATCCAGAAGCTCGTAAGGCAAAATTTCAATAGACTAACTCCTCAAGAAATCTGCAATCTAGCATTATGCACAAACCATCATCAAATGCTGCCAAGGAATCTGGCTCTAAAGCAATCAAATGCTTTAAATGCTAAGAATTTGGCTACATTACTGCGAATTATCCTGCCACCATTAGGGAAGGGCAAGTGTATGAAGCACCTGAAAAAGATGAGGAGGAGATCAAGTTTTATGGAAACTAATCTAGTATATGATGAGGAGGTCATGCTTGCAGATTAGAGAGAAGCATTAGTGCTTAGACGAAGTTTGCATACAACTGTAGTCAAAGAACCTTGGCTACAACGTAACATTTTTCACACTCGTTGCACGACCCAAGAAAAATTTTGTAATGTCATCATTGATAATAGAAGCTATAAAAATGCAGTATCTAACTACATGGTAGAGAAATTAAAGTTGCCAACACAAGATCATCCGCAACCTTACAAACTTTACTGGCTCAACAAGGGAAATGAGGTAAAAGTTTCTAAACAATGTCTTATGACCTTTTCTATTAGGAACTAATATTGTAATGAAGTTTTATGTGATGGCTACCTTCTCTTGGGGAGGCTATGACAATATAATTGACATGCTATGCACAACGGGCGTGCAAACACTTACTCTTTTATTAAAGATGGTGTCAAGTTCACACTAGTGCCTTTACCGCCCAGCAAGATTAGCCAATTTTCAAGGGAATCTAGTACCTCTAAGCAATTAATGTCTTTGATGACTAAGGAAGAATTTAAGGTGACAAAGTTTGAAGCCTAAATGATGAGCTTTATTCTGGTGTTTGAGGTGAACGATGAGTCTACCAACTTACCAGGAGCCATTCCATTACTGTTTGAATTTCTAGATGTAATATTTGATGAGATACCGCCAGGGTTGCCTCTTATGCAAGACATATAGCATGCCATTAATCTTATTCTAGGAGCAGTAATTCCTAACTAGCCTACCTATAAGATGAGTCCCCAAGAACATGTCGAAGTCTAACAATAAGTTGAAGAATTGTTGAAGAATGGGTTGGTTCAAGAAAGTACCAACCTTTATGCTGTACCTATTCTTCTCGTACCTAAGAAGGATGGGAGTTAGAGAATGTGCATTGACTGCCAACCTATCAACAAGATCATTATTAAGTATCGATTTTTGATACCTCAACTTAATGATATGCTAGACTAGTTGCATGGTGCTACTATCATAGTGGATACCACTAAATCATAATTTAGCTAGGAGATGAGTGGAAGACCACTTTTAAGATTAGAGATAGCTTGTAGGAGTGAAATGTGATGCCTTTTGGGTTAACAAATGCCCCTAGCATATTTATGCGCCTGATGAATCAAGTATTGAGACCTTTTATTGGCAAATTTATTATTATGTACTTTGATGATATTGTCATTTATAGCAAGATCACTTGCTGCAAGTTTTGCAAGCAGTGTGAGAACAGAAGTTTTATGCTAATCTCAAGAAATGCACCTTCCTTACCAGTGAAGTTGTGCTCTTTAGATACATTATTAATGCAGAGGGTGTTTGAGATAATCCAAGCAAAGTTACAGCCATTAATAGTTAGCCAATTCCAATATCTATTTAGGAGGTTCGAAGCTTCCACGGATTAACTTCTTTCTATAGGAGATTCATCTGTAATTTTAGCTCTATTGCTATACTACTAATAGATTGCATCGAATGAGAAAAATTTTAATAGACAGAGTAAGCTTAGAAAAGCTTTAAGGAGCTTAAGAAGAAGTTGACCGAAGCTCTAGTTCTAGCTCTTTTTAATTTTGATCAAGTATTTAAAGTTAGCCGTGATGCTTCTAACACCGGTATTGGTGTTGTTTAAAGTCAGGAGGGATATCCCATCACTTTTTTCAGTGAGAAGCTCAATAATGCTAAGCTTAAATATTCTATCTATGTATGACAAAGAGTTTTATGCCGTTGTCTAAACTCTCTAACATTGGAGTGACTATCTCTTGAACAGAGAGTTCATTCTCTTTTCTGATCATGAGGTAGTCAAGTATTTAAATTCTCAGTAAAAGATCAACTGTAGACATGCCCATTAGAGTAAACTCTTACAGTCTTATCCATTCCTTACTAAGCATAAGACTGAAACTTTGAACTCCATATCTAATGCTCTTAGACATTGACATGTGCTGTTCATAACAATGCAGACCAAAGTTGTTAGGTTTAACCTTGTTAAAGAGTTGTATTAGGATGATCCTAATTTTTTAGGAGTATAGGAAGCAACTGCAAATCAACCTTTCCACCAATTCTACAGACATTACAGGTTTTTATTTCGAGGCAAAGCCTTGTGTATTCCACAAGGCTCCTTGAGAAAAGCCATAATTTAGGAAACACATAACGGTGGATTAGTTAGACATTTTAGATAGGATAAAATAATTGACCTAGTGAAGGAGAACTTTTATTGGCCTTGACTTGAATAGGATGTCAACAAACATATATAGGGATGCAGAATTTGCCACTTGGCTAAATCCAAAGGTCAGAATACAGGGTTATACATGCCTTTACTAATTCTAGAAGCACCTTGGGAAGATATGAGCATGCATTTTTTTTTTCTAGGTTTACCACGGGCTTAGAGGTAAAAAGATTTTGTCATAGTAGCTATGGATCATTTCTAAAAAATGACCTATTTCATTCCATGCTAGAAGACCAATGATGTTGTCTAAGTAGCAGATTTGTACTTTAAGGAGATTGTTTGTCTTCATGGCATTTCCAAGACTATCACTTCTAATCGTGATGTGAAGTTTCTCAGCCACCTTTAGTAGACGCCATGGAAGAAGATAAGAACTAAGCTCTAGTTTAGTAATGCTAGTCATCCCCAAACAGACAATCAAACTAAAGCTGTAAACATATTCTTGGTAGTCTTCTTTGCAGTTTCATAGGGAAGAATTTAAGCAGTGGGATCTCATTCTTGCTTAAGTTAAATTTGCCTACAATAACTCAATCAACCAAGCAACTGGGAAGTGTCCATTTGAAGTTGTTTACGACACTTGTCCCCTTAATCCACTAGACTTGACCCCTTCATTTGATAAACATCAATATAGTTCTGATGCTGACCAAAGAGTTAAGAAAATTAAGAAGTTGCATGAGCAAGTTCGCGAGCAAATCTAAAAGCAGAATTTGAGATATAAGGCTCAACATGACAAGCATTAGAGACAAAAAAATCTTAACATAGGAGACTTAGTTTGAATACATCTATGAAAGGAACAATTTCTTAAATAGCCAAACACCAAGCTATCCCCAAGAGCTGATAGTCCATTCAAGATTGTGTAAAAAATCAATAGCAATGCTTGTAAGGTAGAATTTTCTAGTTCTTATGGAGTATCTACTACCTTCAATGTTGTTGATCTATTAATCTACATTGACGAAGAAGCCAAATTTGATTCGAGGGCGAGTTTCATTCAACTTGGGAGGATGAAATGGAACAACAGCATTGAAGAAAAAAAAAACAACTGCCATGAAGGAATGTGAATAAATATGTGGAAGAGCATAAGTAGATGTCTGTTAGGTTGCCACCATTAATGCAAATAATAAAACAATTATAACTTGCCATTTATCGCCCTGTACTCCATTTCAGATTTAGAATAGTATAAATAGCATAGTTTTTGAGCCATATGCAATTCACCTTTTTGTTAAAATCAATTTCAAAAAATAACATTCAAACATAGTCACAATATAACACAATAAATTATTATTAAAATCAATCATATGAATCAATTTTATTTAACCAAAATCCAAACAGGCATTAATTACATAGTCTAAGAAATTAATTGCACAATTCATATGTAACTCATAAATAATATAACTTATTAGAAGCTTCATATTATATATTGATAGCTTTATAGTATATATATAATAGAATGGAATATATACACGATGAAAAAATAGCTGCATCTGCATCACATTCATTTGTTTACATATTATATTCATCATATAAATTGGAGTAATCAATAATGAAAAGTATTTCTAACACAAATAAGAAGCCAAATTTAGAGTAAATATAATGAATTTTAAGAATTATGTTTAACATGATGTTTTATCTCATTCATTATGCACTGTAAAATAAACTGTCTGGTTAATTGAGAGTTTGGGAGAGAAGATCTCAATACACATTTACGGATATATTTTTCTAAAATTCATCATTTTACTGGAATATTTTCAATAATTACTCTTGTTTCAATCTAATAATAATAATAATAACTTGTCCAAAACTCAAATAAAATAAACATGAGTGTGTGTGTTATTTAAAAAAAAAAGATTATGCTTATTTATATATTGTTAAGGCTTTGAAAATACGTACCTCCCCATAAATATTTCTACTCTCTCTAAATCTACTTGATCTGTTCCTTTTTGTAGTTTTCCTTTTCCGTTTCATAAAAAAAAAATATAAATAAATGAAATCAAAAAAATATCAAAAATAGCACCAAATTAGATATCATCTGGGATAATCTAAAATCTAAACGAACTTGGAGAATCTAATTTTATAAAGAATCTGTTCTGATATCTACGTACTCAAAATTATATCTGCAGAGTGGATAATCCATCTGAACCAGCCTCAACTCATATATCAGCATCTGAACACCTTATTTTAATAAATTATTAAATAATAATAATCAATCCACTTATGTATATGTGTATATATATATATGCACCTGATGAGCTAGTAGAGAGCTCTTTGCATGGTTTTGACCTGAAACAGCGAAGATGATGAAGAAAGCTTTAATGTTTCTGTCACTATTTGTTCTTTTTGCATTACCATTATGCGGCCATGCGAAGGAATTCCAGAAGACATGTTCGAACCTTCCTCCACTGATCTCATCTCACAGCTTCCGATACGCAATCTCCACAAACGACTCTCTCCGAGCCGAATCAATGACGGCTCACTACAGCCACGTTCATGATCATCATCGCCATCATGAACCGGGTTGGGCCGACCCGCTTCCGAGACCTAGAAAGATGATCGAAGAATACAGAAAGATCCAGAAGGACGGCGAATATTCCCTTCCCAAAGGTGTTCTCAAACCAGTGTCGCTTCACGACGTGAAGTTGAACCCAGATTCACATCATCACACTGCTCAGAACACCAATCTTGAGTATATTTTGATGCTTGACGTGGACAGATTGCTGTGGAGCTTCAGAAAAACTGCTGGTTTGCCCACTGTTGGTGATCCTTATGGAGGCTGGGAGGCTCCGTATATTGAGCTTCGGGGTCATTTTGTTGGTTAGTTTCGTTTATTGTTGTTGATGACTACTCATGAATATCTAATAGGATGCTTTTTTGAGAGTGAGTGGATTGATTTGATTTGATGTTTAGGTCATTATTTGAGTGCGACGGCGCATATGTGGGCGAGCACTCACAATGAAGCAGTGAAGGAGAATATGGATGCGCTTGTTGGGAATCTTTCTCTGTGTCAGAAGAAAATGAACACAGGATATCTCTCTGCTTTTCCAACCGACTTGTTCGATCGTGTTGAGGCTCTCGAATTTGCGTGGGCTCCTTACTACACTGTTCACAAGGTACTCTCACCCATATCCTTCTTGTTAATAGATGTAGATTGGATGTTAATGCATGTAAACTAGAATTAAGAAGAAGAAGACTGAATATATTTCATTGATGAACACAATAAAAAATTACCATAAAAAAGAAGAAGAAGAAGAAGAAGTCCTTCACTTGGATTGCAAACCAATTCCAAACTATGGGATGAAACATTAAACACCGAGTTATTAAATCTAATAATCTCTAGTATTCCAATACTTCTCAATAATAGTCGGCTCTTATTAGCAGGTTTGGAGTGTCTATTGTACTCTTTACGGCCCCACTAATCCTTACTTAATCGCCCAGACTAATCCTTTATTAGCTAAGATGCACCTGTACTGATACAAATATTATACTATAAAATTTTAAAATTAAGGTGCAAGAACATAAATGTTGTATATTTTGATATTTTGGAGGATTGATGTGGTCTATATATATATATTGGATTAAGTGTACATTTATTTTTTAGATACTAAAACTCAACCAGTCATTGAACTTTTTCGTTGGAGGTTTAATAGCGAAATCCATATTCAACCCACAATCGGAGATCGATCTTCCATAAACAATTTTATTATACTGAACTGGTCTTGATCTCTCTCCTCACTTTTGATTCACACTTTTTATCATCAAAATAAAGACTCGCTATTTAAAATGATTGAAGCCAGAGTATTGATATGGTGGATTCTGCCTTTAAGCCATGATTAATTAAATAGAATTAACTCTAATAATCAAACATGTGTAAAGACAATGGCGGGGCTGTTGGATCAATACACGTTTGGGGAGAACGAGGAGGCTCTGAGGATGGTGACGTGGATGGCGGATTACTTCTACGACAGAGTGGTGAAGTTTGTGGAGAAGCACACACTGCCAAGGTTCTACGAAGTACTCAACTTTGAATATGGAGGGATGAACGATGTGCTTTACAGGATTTACAACTTCACTGGCAAATCTAAGTATCGCACCTTGGCTCACTTGTTTGACAAGCCTTGCTTTTTTGGCCCACTCGCAACTAAGGTATATCGTTTTTTTAATTTATTTTAATTTCTCAAAAAAAAAAGAAAGATAATCATTCGGTTTTCCCAATTAATTAGCTGCTTAATTAATTCAAACTTTTTATTTTGAATTTGTAGTCGGATGAGCTGCCGGGTCTTCATGCTAATACTCACTTGGCTATCGTTATTGGAGGTCAAATGCGGTACGAGCTTGTGGGTGACCCGCTTTATAAGGTAATATGTATATATATTGCATACAATGGTTTACTAGTTTAATTAGTCATGTTAATATGATTTTTAATACAATGATTTTTTTTAATTTATTATTTTGTCGAAAATCATCTTCAAAAGTCTCAACGTTGGCACAGAATTCTTGTTGAAATCGACTCATAGTAGGGCGGAACTTCCTTAATAGTAATGGTTGCCAAGCTCAAACCCCTTTTTCTATATATATATAAAGTTAAAACACTAACACCCACTGTGTGTATATATATATATATATATATATATCTTGCAAAGCATATCTATCATATATGGTATATATTATATATCATAAAATATATAATTTATTAGTTTATTAAAATATTTTTATTGATTAACATTAAAGAATGATGCATGATGTTTATATGTACATATTAGTATACTTTTTTCTTTAGTTTCTTAAATTAAATCATTTGAAATTAATTTTTAAGGTTGTCCTAAATATGCCAAAATTTTAAAATTTTATCTTATATATGTTTATTTAATTTTCACAAAAATTGAATATTTATTTTATTTTCTCATCAAATCTTAATATTTAATGGAATCTAATTCTACATAATTTATTATAAAATAATTTGGTGATTTTTATAAAAAAAATTAGTTACTTAAATTTATATACTTAATGTATCTTATTTTCCAATCAAATCAGAATAATTAGGTCTTTAAAAAGGTAAAAAATATCAATAACAAGATATAGTTATAAGGTAAAAGTATAGTGGTGGCTTTAAAAAACAATTTGATTTTGATAAAAAAAAATCTGTATATAAGTTTAAATATTTAAAATTTTCTTTATTATTATTTAACTAGTTATTTTTAAAAATTACTTAAATTAATAATAATAACATTTATTAAATTTAAAAACTTGGCCCCTCTTAGAGCATAGTATAATATGGGCGTCTGACGTGTGGTGTTTGATATGTTAGGAATTGACCACATATTTTTTGGACCTTGTTAACTCTTCACACGCATTTGCAACTGGAGGCACATCTCAGTCTGAGCATTGGTATATACATTTAACCTTATTTAATTTATTTTCCAGTTACACCAACAATATTTTCAATAAATTCCAATTCCTTATGTTTTTTTTTTTTGGTCAAATTTATCAGGCAAAATCCAGACAGAATAGGTGACCTTCTGAAATCTGACACCGAAGAGTCATGTTCATCTTACAACATGTTGAAGGTACACACACAAACGCACACTCCCTCCGGTTCTCTTTACAAAATTCAATGAAACATATTCATGACAATTTTTCAAAAAAAAAAAATCTTTGTCTCTTTCACTCTTATCCTCTGTTTAGAATGGGAAGAAACTGGGAAGAAGAGAAAATTAAAGTAGAAAGGTATATGAAAAGCATAAAATTTTTATTTTCTTTAGTTTTCTCCCTTTCTACGGGAAAATTTGGGGAAAATAAGAGTGAAATATATATATATATATATATATATTTTTTTTTCTTCTAGTTTTCTCTCATTTATATTTTATTCTCATTATATATATATATATATATATAACCCATATGTTTGTTTGAAGGGAAGGAAAATTGTAAAACTTTTGCTAACTAAGGGAAGCTACTTAGCTTACACTTTAAATTAATCTTTGGTTCACACTTTAAATTATACATATATATCAATTATGTTTATTAAATACAGTTTACAATCTTATTTTTTTCCATTAAACTTTCAAATACACTCTTCATTAATATAATGAATAGTAATATTAAAATAATCATCATTAATGAAATTTTATTCTTTTTCAAAATATCTTATATTTTAAGACACCAAACCATCTCCAAAAATGTCTTATAAAATGAGAGGGAATGGGTATTATTTTCCTTTTTGTCAAAACAAACTCAAAGATCAGTGTGAATAACATGTTTATTTGTGAATACATAAATAGGTTGCTCGCAATCTATATAGATGGACAAGAGATGCATCATATGCAGATTATTATGAGAGAACACTAACAAATGGAGTGTTGAGCATACAAAGGGGGACAGAACCTGGGGTTATGATCTACATGTTCCCACAAGGTCGTGGTGTTTCTAAGGCTGTTTCTCCTCATGGTTGGGGTCTTAAGTTTGACTCGTTTTGGTGTTGCTATGGAACTGGCATCGAATCTTTCTCTAAGTTAGGAGATTCTATTTATTTCGAAGAGGACGATGTCGTAGCCAACAAAGATCCTTCTCTTTATATTGCTCAGTACATCTCAAGTACTTTCAATTGGAAAGCTGCTAACTTTCTCCTCAATATGACTGTCTCTACTTATTCTTCTTATGATCCTTTTGTTCGTGTTACCTTCACATTTTCTCCACACCAGGTATTTTATTTATTTATTCATTTACTTCACATGTTTTTTCGAGTATTATCATTATGATCATTCTCATATAGTTCGATAAAAATCGAACCACATCGTTTGTTATCAGAAGAGTTTGTTTCATTAGTTAGAAAGTTTCTTCTATAAAAAAATTAGCCAGAAATTTTTTTAGTTAGTTAGAAATTAGAAAAAAAAATAAAGCTTTAATTTCGACCAGTTATTTACTCCCCACCAAGTTTTTTTTTTGGGCAATGTTTTTCCATACACCACCAAGTATTTTAAACACTTATGTTTGTTATCTTGACTTTCTGAAAGAGAAAATCTAAGTTTTAGTTCCTAATTTTTTTTTCAGTTATATTTCAGACCCTAAAATTAAACAACTCAATCCCTATAGTTCAAGGACTAAATTAATGTGAGACTAAAAGTTATATCATCACTTTTTAGTAAAGTTTTATTTAATGTTTTTTACCAGCATGAAAGTGTTGTTATATATTTGATTGATTAATTACACATATATTGCTATGTTGATTATTTCTGTATCTTCACTTTGTGAATATGTTTCTAAATATGCATGGAAACTACTTTTGCAGGGAGAAGGCCGCTCTTCTACATTAAACCTTCGTGTGCCGACATGGACGAACGTGAATGACACCAATGCTTTACTCAACAACAAGCCTTTGAAACAGCGTGTTAATGGAGGTGAATATAATTAAGACTTGTTCAGCTAATAGGTTATATATTTGTCGCCAGAGTTACAAAATCATTTTTGCAACAAACAGGCCATTATAAGCATATATTCTTAAATTGGTTTTACAAAAGTACTAATATCTTATATCTCATATCAAGAAGAAAGTATATCTAATATATAATGTCTTAATTTCATGTAGGGTCATATTTGACAATAACAAGAAGGTGGAGCGCCAGTGACAATCTCACCCTCATCTTCCCAATCACCCCAAGATTGGAACGCATAAAAGGTTCTCCCTCCCTCCCTCCCTCCCTCCCTATATATATATATATATATATATCGTGTGATGATCAATAAAACTTCACGAATAATCATTTCCTATGTATTTACAATCTAAGAACTGATAAATTGTTTTTCATGAATGAATAATTCAGATAACAGGCCGGAATATGACAATGTTCATGCGATCCTATACGGACCATTCCTTCTCGTGAGTCACACTGTCGGGAATGAATGGGAACTCCAAGTTTCTGATCTGAACAAGAAACCAGAAGATTACTTGACTGCAATCCCAGCCTCTAACCATAGCCATCTCTTCACATTCTCTCAAGACCTTGAAACCTCAAGCTTCGTGTTGACCAACCTTAACGTCACCGACAACAAGACACTGACCACGGAGAAATTACCTCAGATTGGCACCATCAGAGCCACCCATGCAACATTTAACCTTGTCTTGCTTGATAATGATGATGATGATGATGATAATAAAGCCCCATTATTAATTCAAGGTATTAATGATGTTCTTGACAAGCGTGTCTTGCTCGAACCGGTTCATCTTCCTGGGAGACACTTGATGCATCAAGGAGCAGAAAAACCTTTGCTGCTCTCGAACACTTCTGCTAATGGTTCAGATTATCAGTCTTCACAGTTCAGAGTGGTTCATGGGTTAGATGGAAGAAACGGCAGCGTTTCGATTGAATCAGTGAGCAATAAGGGTTGTTTCTTGTACAGTGGTGTGGATTATAGTGAAGGTGAAGAAGTGAAGCTGAAGTGCAAGTCTGGTTCATCTGATATTAATGGTACAGCAACGTTGTTCAACAAGGCTGTCTCTTTTGTGGCCGGAAAGGGACTTAAAGAGTATCATCCAATTAGCTTCATTGCTAAGGGGTTAAGTAGGAGTTATCTCATGGAGCCCATTCACTCCTTCGCAGATGATATTTACACCGCTTACCTTGATATTCATGCTTGATTGATTTTTTTTTTTTTGGCCAAATGCTTGATTGATTAATTATTAGGTTTTCAAAATTTTAATTATTAGAGATTTACGTAATTATCCTTGAATTAGTGGGAGTCAATAAATTGGATATATATGTACTTTTGATTTTTGAAGGTTTCCATTTAATTTGGTATTTTGTTGCAATCTTTAATTTCACCCATAGTAAGGTACGTACCCAACTCAACCACTCATCATATCCACAAAAGCGATGTGTATTTGTACTCCTCCGGTTTTATTTATGAAGTGAGGGGAGGGAGAGATTTATTTTATTTTATTTATAAGATATGTTATTAACTTATCACAAGTTTTCTTTTTTTATGCGCCCACGTTAATTGATGAGAGAAAGTAAACCGTCAGTTTTTTTTTTTATTATATGAGAAATTGTTATACCCTTCATTGTTTTTTTGTAAAACATAAATTAAAGTTTCTTTTCATGAGACCAACTCGATTCCTTCACATGCTAGAGATTAATTATAAGAATATTTTAGTCCAAAATTTTTAATTTCATATATAATTATTATGTTTAATCAATTTTTTAAACTTTGTGAATTAGTTAAAATTTGCTTATATTCAAATATGGAGAGAATATATTATTAAAATTGAAAAGTTTTTAAACTTTTGAACAAGAGTTAATGATTTTAATATTTTTCTTAATTCTAATAAAATATATTAAAAGTAACTTATAAATAGAATTTAAGAAAATAAGAGTTATTAAATAGGCCAAAGTACTAATGAGAATCCACATCATCGTGAGGTGGTTTTATTGGATTGACCGATTGAACTTAATTGAAGAGTTTGTTATAAAATCAAAGAACTCAAGCACTCATTATATCAAGTTTGAGAGATGTTTATATTTAATCAACTATTCATAGAATTGTCTCTAAGATGAGAACATCTGTAAGTATAATTTAAAAAAAAATGTATAACTTTGGGTTTTTGCATTTTATTTACGTTTTGTCATAAATTCCTGCATTTTATTTTTAGTGTTTTTGATTCTTACACTTTTATTTTTTAGTATTCTAAGTCCTTATAATATCTCTCATGGAAGGACTTATAATACTAAAAAATAAAAATGTATGAACTTAAAATACTTAAAAAAAGTGTAGGGACTTATAATAAAACTCGAGCAAAGTATGAGAATTTAAATTTATATTTTTTAAAAAAACATTAATTTACATATGCACGTTACTTTCTTGAACTTGATGTGATGTGTTGCGTGGTTAATTTTCTTGCCATCACAATCCATTGCACTACATATATTTTACGCCATCATTGGTTGCTTAAGTCGATTGTTTAATGATACTTAAACTATTGCTTGGTGTGTGCATGTAAAGTTTGACTGCTTCCCTTTTTAAGACCAACCGGTTTGGGATAAAAGACAAAAATAATTTAATTTAAATTATCCATTCTTCCTTGATCAGGATTTTCAAAATTTTAAAATCCACTTATCCTTGAATGACAAGTCAATAATAAATAAAAAGAAAAATCAGAAACATGTCCCAGAGAATGAATTTAATTACCAATAAGTCCTACTCCTATCTGCGGCAAAATATCACATGATAACATAATACCACACGTTGACATATGTAAAAGGAAACTTGAATTCATAATTAAATTCCTTACCTACACTTGCTTGTGATACTTTTTCCAAAGTTAAAAAAAAAAAAAAAAACTATACTTCAATTTGATTTAAATTCCAAAACTGTAGTTTATTTATATTGGATACAAATTAACTGAATATGTCTTAAGAGTTTGTTGGTATAACTATAACAAGACATTTGAGCGGCTGCTACTACAGATATAGTAAAAAAGAGAAGGAGTGAGCTGGAATATTCAATTTAAGTTGAGTCTAACTATAATAAAAAACTATAATACTATTTATAGAGATTAAAATATTAAAATAATCATAATTAAAATCTTAATCTAATATTAAAATTAAAAGTAATAAATATAATCTAGAATAATCTAAATATTTGTTTTATAGAAAATAATGTAAAATATAAAAGGAAAAATAAAATAAGCAATTTATCTAAAAGGTAAGCATATAATATTCCATCATAAATGTTGAGTGCCAGTTTGGTTTGTGTAATTTTTTGAAACCCGAGATCAATCATGATTTGATTTTTCATAGCACGCTGAGCTGAAGTTGCCAGAATCTTTCGTAAGTGGAATTCTTTTGATCTACCCTTTACTTTCGCATTTTACTCACTCTCAATCGATTTTTTCTATATTTTATCACCTATAATTCTGAATTCGTGATAGAGGTGGGAACACGGGTCAATCCGATCTTTAAGCTTGGTTATTTATTTTTAATTTTTTTTTAAAGTCCAGCCTTATATAAAAGGCTCAGAGCTAGGCCCGAAAGCTCTGTTAAAAAAATAAAAAAATAAAAATAAAATTAAATATTATAAATTAATTAAAATATTTTGAAATTTAAAAAATTAAAATACACACAATATTTTAAAAATTAAACAACATATTTAGAAATCTAAACAACACACATTCATCAATCAAAACCCAAATCTTCTTTATCCTCATCATTTACAAATAAAACATTAGATCTTTTGAATGTAAGTGTACTTGTTGAAAAATGAAGATGAAAGTGAAAATTCAATGTCAATTACCTTTACAACTTTTCTTCATCATCTACAATAAATATTGATCAAATTGTGTCATTATCAATCAAATATATTTATATATGTGTATATATATATAAAATAATCAGGTTTATCAGGGTTTGAAGGGCCTCCCAGGCCCGAGTTTTTTTTTACAGGGTTTATCAGGGCCAAGCCCTCAAACCCGGTTCCTTTAAAAAAAATAATTTTTAAAATTTAAATTTTTATTTAAACAGAACCTATAAACTTGATCCTCCAGACCATCCCTTATTTACGGCTTTAATTCGTGGTCTCAATTTCTTTTTCAAGCAACTATCGGGAGCTAACCACGCAAAAGCATTGATTGAGATTTTTCCTTTTTTTATCGTCCTGGGCTTTTTTCCCATTTGCATATTATGGTGCCAAGTTGGGTTGATGGGACTCGTCTATTTTCTCATCGTCTCTTCTTATCTGGCGTTTTGCTTTGACTTGATTAAAAACTCTGAGGAAAAAACTAGAAAAGATGTAAAAAAATTAACTCAATTTACTTACTATGAAAATTTAAAAAGCGATAAATTGTTTAATTAGAGGCAAAAACAAAATTAATCACGCTTTCATTTGATACAACCTTCAGCTAACCTATTAAATATAGTACTGATTTATATGTACTTGCATTTCCTCTTGCCCCTACGATAAATTACTTTCAATGATCACCTTGTTAATTTATCACCCATCTTAAAATTTTAAAATATTTCAACTTTAATCCTAATAAGATACAACTTTTAGAAAATAAATAGAATGCTTTTCAAATTAATATGCTGCGTTTTTCTTTTATGGGAAACAAATTAAAGTTTTGGAGATAAAGAGAGGGAAAGACAACAAATTCGAGAAATCATATAAAAACACTAAATTAAAATTAAATTATTATTTTAATAATTTGTAACATAAATAAAATTGAAAAATATTAATTAATAATTCTATTAATATAACTTACATTAAAATTTAGAAGGAAAATAAACCATTGAATTATTATAGTTTTGATATGATTGTAACTTTTATTTTTAAATTTTAATTTGTTGTAATTCAATATTTATAGTTTTAATTTGGTTCTAATTAAATTCCTAAGTTTTTACTCTTGCAATATAATCTCTGTAATTTTAACTATTTAAAATATTAGTTCCTATATTTTAAAAAATAAAAAAATCTTATAATCTTTATAAAGATTAAAAGTGTTCTTATCAAAAATAAAGGTAAAAAATATTTAATAATTTAAAATATTAGTCTTAAATTTGTAACATAATTTTAATCTTCATAATTTTATTCTTTAAAATATAAGGATTAATTTTTTTTAATGTTTAAAATTATAGAGATTGAGTTGAAATTGAGTTAAAATTATAAGAATCAAATTATAACAACTGGAAATTTAAAAATTGAATTATAATGAAGTTAAAATTATAAAAATTAAATAATTTATTTTTTTATATATAAAAGTTTTTTCCAAAAAACCTTTTATAATAGGGACAAGACCGACGGACTATATTTGAGACAGGTCATTGGCATTGCTTCCAACATTATATAATTTCTTCGTTCCTTTCCGCCACACCAATTTCAATGTTGGTTATGAGTTATGACGTGGAGAAAATCAGCAAGCGTAGTTCCAGGTGGCAGCAACGAGAGCCTCTATAACCTGATCCAACGACAAGAATCTAATCCAAACTTTCCAAAATCATCAACCATCCAATTCCAAACGCCACATTTCCAATGGCTCATCAGCATCAAAAAACTAAGCCAATTCAATTCCAAGCTCACAATTGTTAACATCCTCTCCAATTTGTTCGCTGAGTGACACTAAGCACCAAAATGGCCTCTACTCAATGCTTCTTGCACCACCACGCCCTCGGTACTACTGGTTCTTCTTCTTCTTCTTCTTCTTCTTCTTCTTCTCAGCGTCTTGTGCTACACCGCAAGCCAAACCAGATTGTTTGTAAAGCCCAGAAGCAAGACGATGATGTCAGCCTCGTCTCTCGCCGATTTGCTCTCACCGTGCTCATTGGTGTCGGAGCTGCTGCCTCTAAGGTCTCTCCTGCTGATGCTGCCTATGGTGAAGCTGGTATTTTCCCTTTTTCTCTCTTGATGACCCAGATATTTATAGTGAAAGATGTGAGAATTTATGATTACGCATTACCCGAAATGCATGGGATATGATGAACTTGATAGCTTACAAGTTTGGATTGCGCGACATAGAATTAGTTTGCGAGTAGGGTCCATTCGTTATTTTGACCTACATTTTAACTTCTCTGTCTTTATTCCAATTTTTGATACAAGCTGAAAGGAATACGGAACATGGTTGTGACTAGCCCATTGAGTTGCCACCTTCTCGTTCAATGATTCAGTTAGTGAGAGTTCATGCAAAATCCTAATTGAGAGGCGATGATATATAATAGCTTATAAGTAATCACAATCTTCACTAATTGAACAACCCATGTGAGGTAATGGAAATATATATCTGCTTGGGCAATGCTGAAGATCAAGCAGATTCTTTGGAAAAATTGATGAATTAAGATTGTTTTGCCTGCAGCCAATGTGTTTGGAAAGCCAAAGACAAACACAGACTTCATTCCCTACAACGGAAATGGATTCAAGCTCTCAATCCCCTCCAAGTGGAACCCGAGCAAGGAGGTTGAATACCCAGGTCAGGTTCTTAGGTTTGAGGACAACTTCGATGGCAACAGCTACGTCACCGTCACAGTCACTGATACTGAGAAGAAATCCATTACTGACTATGGTTCACCCGAAGAGTTCCTCTCTACGGTAAATCTGTTATAAATCTCCACTTCTTTTTACATCAAGTACTGCAATTTTTTTGTTTAGAAGCATAATGTTTAACCAAGACATGGTTTTGCCTCTTATTCAGGTGGATTATTTACTAGGAAAACAAGCCTACTTTGGCAAAACTGATGCTGAGGTAATTAACTGCTCTGCTCTGTGACACAGCTATTCAGGCTTACAATCAATTGTACCTTTGGATTAAAATCATGTACAGACATACTTGTGTTTTTTTAAGTGTTTCATTCATACACTTACACTGCCATGATAAGACATCTTGATGAGAACCATGAGAACATAAAATTGCTCTGGACAGAGCTCATCAAATGGGAAATTTAGGCACACATTTTCTTTGCTAACATTTGAGTGTTTCAACTGCTGGTAGTAAAAAAGAATGAAGCATGATGATGAGTTTAACAAAAATTCAGTCATCAGTTCTGAAGTTAATCACTATAGGCTTAATTTGGCCTTGAAGAACAAATTAAACCAGATAACCTGGCATGATCAAACTTGTTCTGAACTTTATCAATTGGCCAGGGTGGGTTTGAATCAGATGTCGTGGCAACGGCGAACATCTTGGAGAGTTCATCGCCTGTGATTGGTGGGAACCAGTACTATGCTGTGACAGTGCTGACAAGACTGCTGATGGAGATGAAGGTGGGAAGCACCAATTGATCACAGCAACAGTGAAGGGTGGGAAGTTGTACATTTGCAAGGCTCAAGCAGGAGACAAGAGGTGGTTCAAGGGGGCAAGGAGATTTGTTGAGGCTACAGCAAGCTCTTTCAGTGTTGCTTAAAAATTCAACACACATGAAAGGACAATCTGCATGTAAATCATCGTCAAGTGTTTATTTTTAATTCATGTTTTTGAGTTTTCTGGCCCTCTTCCCCCCCCCCCCCAAAAAAAAAAGTTTCATTATTTCGAGGATATTGATTATCTTAATTTTCATGGAGTTCGAGGTTCCCATGCTTCCTTTCCTTTTATGTCTCTTACAAGGCATTTAAAGTTGTGCCCCCTCTGTTTTTATTATCAGAGAAAATATTGGCTTGTATTTTTTTATAAATAAAATCATTTATTTTAATAAATATTTATTATATATTTTTTAAATCACCTCTCATAATTTACATTAATGAAAAACATTTAATATATATTTATATTAATTAATACAAAGTATTTTAATCCACTTATTTTATTTTAAATATATTATTATAATTAATTAATTTTTTAAATTTTGTGATACAGTTTTTGACAAATAACTTGAGAAGGTCCTTGAACAGCTAAATTTTTTTTTTTTTCAAATCAAAGATCATATTTGCTTTTAAACTATTTTTACATTAATCCATTAACTTAAAAGAGGTCCTTGAAAAGCATTGGTACCCGTACCATGACAGGTTGCAAATTAATCCATTAACTAAAAAATTGTAGCAACTTAGACCTTCCGTTTAGTGGGTGATAACATCTGTTTGTTGCCACTCAGAAAAAAAAGGGGGGGGGGGGCGCGCGGAAGATGCAGTGAAATGCTTTATTTTTTTTTTTTTTTTGAATTCATGTATTACTTTCACCATTTCTGTATATAAGATATTGGTTAGAAATTTTTATTATTTTTTTAATAAATAAATCATTATATCCTTATTAAATTAAAAAAAAATAATAAAATAAGCATTCTCATTAATTTACTTTAAAAAAATTATTTTTCTATTCACTATAATTAGGGTGAAATTGGAACGTACCGTGTCTTTAATTAAATAATTAAATTTTATTAATTTGTATAATTTAATTAAAAATATTATATATATAAGAATTGAGGGACTACGTTGCACCGCCTAAAAAGCTGGTGAGTACTTCTGATAAAATAATAGGTTAAGGAAGATTTTTGCTTCCAAGCTATTAAGAGCCCTCAATATTTTAAACTGCTCAAGGTAACAATGTCATCCGAACTAAATAAACGCAAGCAAAGTTACCCTAGCGTTTAAAAATGATAAACCTCCATTAACTGAAGCTAGTTAGGCTCAGTTTTTATCATCTCACTTTACTCTCTCTTCTCTCTTCTACTTTATCGTCGTCGAATTCGAGTCCCTGTTTTGGTAATCGAAAAACAGAGCCACCTTAAAGCTCGTCCGTGCATGCCCGTCCTTAGGACTTGAATAATAAGCGGACAATGATTAACTAATAAGAGAGAATCGCATCGTTCGTTTGCAGATGCTTGTTTCATCTTGCTGCTAAACTGTGTTGGAGCATCGTATCTCATTGACGCATGTGGCTTCTCACCCAAACAAGCTGAAGCAGCTTCTAAGCATTAGTTTTGTTAATATTACATTAAGTATTAGTTTTAATATATATATATATATATATATAATTATAAAAACATATAGAGAAGAGAAAAATTGATAAACGATAATAGACCGCCGTGAAGAAAGCTAAAACTGATGAACGGTCAAAGCTGTTGATCGGACCTCGCTTGCGCTCACGATCGCGATGCCTGCCAGAATTATGAGCAGCAGCTTCATCAGCAGAGGCATAACCAGCAGCCAGAGCATCTTCCTTGTTGCAGTTACAATCGTTAGCGCCATCTAGAGCTTCAAAGTGGCTCTGTTTTTCTATTACCAAAACAGGGGACTCGAATTCAACGATGATAAAGTAGGAGAGAAGAGGCAGCAGAGAAATAATGAAAATGGCTTTCACTAATTTTTTTTTTTTTAAATTGCTACCTTCGTTAAAAAAATTAAAATATTTTAAAAATATTTTAAAAAATTTAAAATAATGTTAATTTAAAATATAATCATTACTTTTTTAAATATTTATATTGATGAATAATTTTATATTTATTGTAAAGTGTTTAATAGAGGTAAATATAAAAAGATAATGTTAATTTAAAATAAATAACTATTTTATTGAGTAATAAAATTCAATTAAAAATATCTTATATTTTTTAATAAATGAAGTAATTTTATTAATATAAAAAATATGAGTACAAACACCCAAGGCAAAAAAGCACTTAAAAAAATCTAATAATGTTTATAATTTTTAAACTGTCAGGCAATATTATCCCTTTTTATTATTATAATAAATAATTTAAAATATTAAATATTCTTTTACAAGTAATTTAAGAATAAAAATATGCTTTAACTTAAAAATAATTTAAAAACAAAAATATCCCTAACTTTTTTTTTTTAATAATTGATGTCTATCATATTAACAGACATGGATGACAGATAGGCAACATGCAAGAAGTTGTCGGGTTTGCTGACACTTTGACTGAGGAAAAATTGAGCATAAGGATTAAGACGGCGAATATTTGGCAAGAACTTTGAATGTTCTTGGAGATATATTGCAGATTTATAATTGAGTTTTAGAACGTCTCAGGAATTTGCGAGTGAAGTTCAAAGAATTTTTTTCAACTGAAGTTAGCCGCTGTTTCAATTTTTTATGGCTTTCTTGACGCTCAATATTGGAGAATGTATTTAGAATTAATATGTTCATGTATCTAGTGATTATAATTACTAATACTAATTACTATTAATTTTAACAACTTGTTGATAATATTGCCAAGTATTCTCGCTCATAAATAACTAGTTTAGAAAATAACCCTTGTACATCAAATAAGTTAGATTATCAATTCTGGAGACACTAAAAATAAAAATATTTATATTTAATTATATATATATATATATATATAAAGTTAAAAATGTTATAAAAAAAATAAAAGGATTGAGACGAGAAAAATAAACAAGACAAAAAAAATTAAGAGAGGAAAATAGGAAAAGATTCTTGTTCACTACAAGCTTACAATCATTTAGTAAATACTTATTAGTTATAGGCTACTTGTCTTTAAATATTATTGCAAGAGTTACGTTTAAAGAATAAATTTACATAATTATAAAATATATAACACATGTATTAATCACGCATGATAAACTCTTAAGATGTTGTTTATGTTGTGAGTTATTTAGTTTTAATTGAAAAATGCCAAATGACAACTTTTGAAATGTTATAGATATTCATAATTATATTATAATATTTATAATACTCTCTTTTAGATGTTCATAAACAAATACCATGCCTCATTAAAATCTTATTAAAAAAACTCAGTGAAACATAAGTTTAGTGAAGGAAAAAAAAGTATACAATATATGATAAAATCCTCTCATTAAAAGTCTTATTAGAAAAACCCTATAGAACAAAATTTTGATTAAAAAAAAACAAGAGCATAGCATGAACTTCGTTTAATGAGAATATCAATTTAACTTCGTTTAAAAAATAATTATGAATATCTTTATGCTTCAAATTTTGTTATTAGCAAAAGAACATTGTGATTTTGAAAATTCAAGGCATGTAATGTAATTTGTGGCAATGAAATGTTTTTTTTTTCCCACTAAAATTACTTGAACGAATGCTTTGTATACCTTGTTGCATTTGTACCCATGAAGATATTTATCAATGTTTTTTAGAAGAAAACTGTAAAAGCTTTGGAGATTGGGGGAAAAAAAAAGCCATGAAACATAAACCCTTATTTAGATTTAACAATCTTAAATATTCTGATAACTCAATAGCATAGAAATAATTGTATTTAAGAAAGAAAAACTCTTGACCTTTAAGCTTATATATGGAGGGTGCATGGATAGATTACTTGTGTTCTCTTAATTTATGACGATACTTTTCGTGTTCATTTGGTAACTCAATTTCTGTATTTGGTTTTATTCATTTTCACATTATAAGAATTGTAAAAATTAGGAATAATTTCCAAGGGTTGGATTTGGTTATTATTGATTTTGCGGTGTTTTAAAACCAAAGCAAACTCATCGTACACGATATAGATAAGATCATCTCGACGGAAGAAAAGAACCAAACCAACGTGCATGCATAAAGATGTATATATTAGAAATAGAGAATAACAAAAAAAATAGAAAATTGATAACATGGTCCTTGAAAGACATAACTTGGTAATCATCTAAATGTGATCAATACTTTATGTTTAATTTCCATACTGTTCATATGATCGCATTAAGATTATTAGTGGAGATATGTAAGTTGACACATAAATAATTAATGAGTTAATAATCTGATCGTTCTGATCGTTAAGGATTCAATTATTATCCTGTTATCCAACGTATGAAGAGCTAAAACAATACGGTGCTATGACTATTTCAAGTGACGTATCCCTCTGCATAATGTGCTTTAACGATAGTAACGTCTTAAGTTTGTATCATAATGATATTTAAAAATAAAATAAAATATACTCTTTATTAAGAAGTTAAGAAAATAAAACTAAGACTTGAGCAAGATTAATAAGCCCGGCTTGGTCCATCCTATATATCTTCTTGGTCGTTGGTATAATTAAGTTGGTTTAAAGGACTAAAAATGGTAATTTTCTTTCAAAATATCAATGATAAAAGTAGAATATTTTATATAAAAGTAAGAAATTTAACTCCTCACCGCTTGTTTAAAAATAAGAACCCTCATCACTTGCCTTAAAATAAGTTGATAACTCATGTCATAACTTTTTTAAAAGAATTTCGCTGTGAGAGTGAGTTAAGATTAAAGTGACAAAAATATAAGTAAGTTACTAACAAGGAAATTGGGTATAGAGAAAGAGAAAAAAAAATGTCTCAAGACATAACTAAATTTTACACAAAAAATCAGTGAAAATAAAATTCTTGATCCCTGAATGTAGTTTTTGAAATTTAATTTCTATCAACCAAGTCTCTAAAATTTTATAATCACACATAATTAGTCTTTATACTATTATTACCCTCTTCACATTAAAAGGACAAATGGTGTATGACTTTGGAACTTTAGAAATTTGATTGATAAATATTGAATTTTAGGAATTGAATAATTAAAATAAAGTTGAAGGTAAAAAAAATTCATTATCTCAACAAATTATAATCAAGCGATATGTTAGTTGTAAATCACTAAACACTTCTTATTTTAAAATATACCAGCAGAGTATAGTTATAGCATATCAAGATAGTTATGTTGGAATGACTTTTCTATATAGGAGGGGCATGCGATTTAATTATCAATTAATAATACTATCAAATGCAAAATTATTGTAAAATATAGTTAATATAAAAAGTAAAGAAGGACAAGACAATATAAAAAATGAAGAGAATATAATGAAAAAGAATTCTTATTCACTAGTGTACATATGCTTTAAGCATGATATCTATTTATAGACCTCCAACTATTTAAGTCTTATTCTTATGTTATAAAAATATAATGAGACATATAATAGTGTATTATGTAACCTTTAAAGGTTATAAATTATTAAGACTAATAAATTTCTACCATGCCATTTATGAGAACATTAAAGATAAAGAAATTCTAACAGTTATAAGTTATGGATATCTACAACATAATCTTTATAATATGATTTATTAAGAGAATCACACTACAATAATGTCTGAAAATTACATTAACGCATCTAGTTAGGTGAAGAATTAAGTGTGAAATGAATGATGAAGGATTAGAAAACGGGGATGGGTTGCATTGAGGAACAAAAAGTTGATGGTTTGAGGAGCAAGGAAAGTATATACCATATCCATGTCCATAGCAGAAGAAAGAAAAGCCCAAAAGAAATTGGCAAAGGCGCAAGGGGGGTGATCGTCATTTCGCGAGAGAGAGCGGAGACTAGAGGGAAAGAGAAGAAGCTAAAGAGGGACACAAGACAACAAAGAAAGAAAAAAGAAAATCGAATTTTGATAGACCTGTGGGATTATTATTTTTTATGCGTTCATTCCTCGCTTCTCTCTCTGCGTGTATAAATACCCCATTCATCATCAGGAACCTCAGGGACAAGCTTTGGTGTGGGTGGGATTTTCGGCGCCTGTTATCTCTGGTAACTGAAGCTAAGAATCGTCCAAGAACAAGGCGTCGGCGCGGTTGAAGTCACGATCGCGCCTCCGGCCAACTGCGGATCGTTCCCCTGCTGTCTGGGTAAGTCGGTGGATCGCCATAACAATCATCGTTGTCTTATTCTGGTTCTTGTTATGCTTGTTTTGGATCTGTAACTTTTGATGTCGATTCTTGTGATGTATCTTGGTTTGATGATATCTAATTTTTTTGGCCTTGGGTTTGTTTGTTTCCGCGGAAAGTGGATTTTTTTTTTGGTTACCTACTGTTGAGTCCAACCTCTTTGTTGATGGGTGTTTTTGTATTCCACATAGCCTTTGCAGAACTTTTGCTGGGCAGCGAGCAAATGTTTCATTCTTCGGAAGAATTTGTTAGTAACATTGTGCCTTGAAGCAATACAGCTTGAATTTATTACTCCTCTTCTTTGCTGTATTCATTTATTGTTTCAATTAAGGAGAGATTGGTGTTAAAATTATATGTTTCAGCTCTGTAGCTTAATTTTTGTGGTATTCAGTGCTGATTCTTGGACCATTAATATGCAGGGATTTCTTTTTGGCGATTCTTCTGAGGTATTTTTCGAGTTATACTCTTGTATTGTTTCTCAAAGCTGAAAATATATATGGGCTGAGGTGCACATTTCATGGGAGGTGTGGAGGATGAAGAACCAGCCTTAAAACGAATGAAATTATCCTCTAAGGGATTAGTAGCCCTGTCAAACGGTTCATCTTCTGTTGAGCCCATTGGTGGCTCGTCAAGTGCTTTGATGGCTCGGCCCCTACCATCAGAAGGGGGCGAAGATGTAGTCGGCTCAAAAGGAGTTATTAAGAGAGAGGAATTTGTCCGGATTATTGCAAAGGCTTTATACTCTCTTGGTTATAAAAAGAGTGGAGCACATTTAGAGGAGGAGTCTGGGATACCTTTACATTCATCTGTGGTAAATCTGTTTATCCAGCAAATAGTTGATGGCCACTGGGATGAAAGTATCGCAACATTGCATAATATTGGTCTAGCAGATGAAAACACTGTCAAGTCAGCCTCTTTTTTAATCTTGGAACAGAAATTTTTTGAGCTTTTGGATCGGGAGAAGGTCATGGATGCATTGAAGACCTTAAGGACTGAGATTGCACCACTTTGTGTCAATAGCAGTAGACTTCGTGAGCTTTCTTCTTGCATTGTGTCTCTATCTCCATGTGGCAAAAATGGTTCTACTAAGCAAGGTATTGTGAAGGCAAGTTCTCGGTCAAAACTGCTGGAGGAATTGCAGAAACTGCTCCCTCCAACAGTATTGATTCCTGAAAAGAGGTTGGAGCATCTAGTTGAGCAAGCCCTTATCTTGCAACGAGAGGCTTGCTTATTTCACAACTCATTGGATAAGGATATGTCATTATACTCTGATCATCACTGTGGGAAAGATCAGATACCATCTAGAACATTACAGGTTAGAAATAATATGTCTAACAGATGTATTAAGCTTCATATTAGATGTTTACTTTTGACTTTTGCACACAGTAGTTGATGTTAGGCTCTTTATTGGACTTCTAGACTTGCTGGTTGTTTATGGTAACATCATCATTTTATTATTTGCTGGTTGGAGGATTAAATCCTGTCTACTAGTTGAAGCTGTTTCTTTCTTTCTTTCTTCAAAATCTATATCGAGTGCTGAGATTGTTGCTTATTTTTTACTGTCGTATGAATTACTTTCTTTTCTTTTTACATTCAGTGGTCATACTTCATTTTTTGGGAAGTTCTAGATTTTGTGATTGCTAACCTGAAATCCTGTTAATGGCATTGATCTATTGTTAGTGTTGAGGCACTGTAAAAACCCTCCCCCCTTTCCTTCTGCATTTGCTTTGGAGATAAGCGATGAATTAACTACAACTCTACAAGTTGGGGTATATAGATTTTTGGTGTCAAGAGTGATATTTTTATTGGAAAATATGTGAAGATGTTTTCTTATTTTGTTTGCATGACCATTGGAATTTCCTTTTGTTCTAGCATCTTTTATTCCCTCATTGACATGGGATAACTTAAACTATTCTTATTGGATTCTATTCACTTTGGTATGCTTATAACTGGACATGTTTTCCCATGCATTGCATGGAGTTTAAGCATTGTTTGTGGCTTATAATAGTGCGACTTTTGATAGATTTTATTTTATATATATATATAGATATATAGATATATAGATATATTGGATGTTCCTGCATCACCTTACTGCTTACAGACCTTTTTCCTAGTCTTGTATTGGTTCGTTTCAATTCTCAATTTTGAGTGTCAGTGCTTGTCTGGACCAGGTTCTTGTATGCCTTGCTGTGAATGTGTGGACTCTACGACTTCCTTTGGAAATTGCATCTATTGATAATGATATGATGCGTTGACCTTTGTATACCTGCTGTTAGTTACCTTGCGTTAAATACCGCCACATTCACTTTTGTAAAACAATTGGTGTGATCTCCATGGGCACACATTTTTGACGTTTCATCTAGTTCAACAACTTGAAGCCTGCCTCCTTCAAGCAGAAGGATACCCTTCATAAAACCCCACATCACATGGATTGCTTGCACTTTTGATGCAGTGATGTACAACTTGAAGTTTTGGTGAAAAAATCCTTCTGTTTGCATCAATTGTCCATTTTTACCATTGCATCCAGTGCAGGAAGTCACGTCATGTCCACTTGAGGCAAGACTGACACACCAGTGCGATATGTATTTATTCAGATTTTGTCTTGCTGTACTTATTTTCCAAGTCCAGTTAAAGGATACGGATCTGGTTTAGCAAAATTATTATTATTATTGTTTTTTTATTTTCCTTTAATTTTTCCTTAGTGGTGACGAAAAGGAATTTTCTTGAGAAAGAGACGCATGAAAAAACAAAGAGTAAAAGGTATTCTTTAAAAACGAAGATGGAAAAAAAAAAAAAAAAGCAAAACCTCAAAGTAAAAGAGATCCTAATCCTTGCGTGCTTTTCAACTTAGGAAACAACTTTAAAAGTTCCAGAACATGGAAACCATGATATTGGTTGTCTCTTTTTTCTTCCCAAGTGGTGTGACTTCTCGTACAAATAATTGGCAATTGTATTATGCCATGTTATTATTCTCAATAGCACATTATTGCATGAATAAAGAAACTCATGATTGCAAGAAGCCATCAAAACTGATTTATTCCAAATGTGGGCGTTGGTGAGAATTATCTCTGAATACTGCTGTGTAATCTCATATGCACTCAGTTATAGTTAATATGGCACACCTTCAAAGTATCTTGCCATGCACTTCCTCTCCCTGGAAATAAATTGATTTTTTCCCTCAGTATTTCAGAAGCTTCAATTTATAACTTTCTGAATATTCAACTGCATATGGTTTTTTTCATTGATTTATGGACTTGGGTTTGATATTTTGATTTTCTTCAAGTTCCAACTACAAATCCAGGTTGGATAAAAGAGAAAAGATATAGAATTTGTAGAAATTGCTGCTGGTTTAGTTGTTTAGTTGCCATTATTAGCATGTCTTGTAATATTTTTATCACAGAGAAAAAAAAAGGATAAACATAACTTATAATCTCTATACTTTACTTGCGTTTTGCTTTTGGTTCCTATATTTTTTTTTTGGTGTTTTAGGTCCTTACATTTTTGTTTTCATTATTTTTGATCCATCTAAGAGCAAAGTGTAGGGGCCTTGGAATGATCCAAAACAATAGAAAACAAAAGTGTAGGTACTTAAAATACCCAAAAAAAAAATATAGGAACCAAAAGCAAAATGCGAGTAAAGTATAGGGACCAAAAAGTTATGTTTACCCAAAAAAAAAAAATTAAAAAAGCTGTGTGCTTGAGCATGGGTCATTTTAGGGATGGAAATCTGATTGCTAATTTACATTGTAATTGAATAAATTTTTTACTTTCATCCACATAAAAAGAGGAGAAAAAAGAGAGTAGTATGGATATAAGTGCTGACTTTGTTGAATTCTTGAAAATCAATTTATAATTCTTCTTACATTGTATAGTTTGATTCTGTATAGCCATATTTCTTATTTGTGTTCTTTCACTTGGCATTCAATCTTATGAATCCTTAATGTCGTTCATAATATTGAAGCTGATCCAAATGAGATCTGAACTGTAAACAATATTGAAGAAAGTCATATGGAACTGAAATTTTTGGGATGCAAAGTTGCAGATTGAACTCTGGGTTGAGATTTTTTACTCTGGTAAAATGGCAAAATCGTTTCTTAATTTTGCACGTTATCCATGAACGTTTTGTTTGATGTTGTCCGTTCCCTTGCAAAATGATTTCAAATTCTTCAGTAGTTTGGTTTGTTTCTGAATCTTGTATGACTTGGACAACAAACTCCTTTAGTTATGATGTCACATGTTCTAATTTATTGCTGCTCATTTCCAACAGATACTGGAAGCACACAGTGATGAAGTTTGGTTTGTACAATTTTCACATAATGGGAAATATTTGGCTTCATCATCAAATGATCGGTCTGCAATTATTTGGGAGGTACACTAATACTGCTCTGGAAACTTCCGGTTTAGTCTTTTGTCCAGTGACATATATTTCTATTTGATTATTATAGATGTCCTATGTTGTTGGTTAAGTTCACATGGTTTCTTTCATTGTTCCAAGGATATCTGCATGATATAACTCTTGATATTATATTGTTAAATGGTGTCTGGTTTTAGTGTCATCTATTTTTTATTTTGTATCAATTGGTGATTTTGTGTCACTCTGACTTTATGGAATGCTTTTTCAAATAGGTAGATCTCCAAAAAAGAGTTGGCGCTCTGGGTTCATGAGAAATACTATTGAAAGACTCAATGAATTTGTTTATAAAACTGATTCCTAAAATCTCTATTTGTACTAAAATATTTCACACAGAGAACTGATATCGTTTGCTTTGGGTTCACTGCAAGTAAAACTCACCTGAACAGAAATGGGAAGAACGAGAACCAGCTCAAAATAAAGAAATTAACCCAGGAATTTAAGAAACTAGCGCTGTCTTTGGAACAATTACTCTCCTGGGCTGCATATTAATAAGGTTCCTGGAAATTTTTGACCTACTTCCTATAAGTAGTGCCTTTGATCCTCTCCTAGTTGGTCTCCACACTTCAGTTGTTTAATGTTGTTCATTAACTATATGAGAAGAAGGCAGGTGTGTGAGCTACATACGAAGTGATTTGAAACAGTGTGATACATTCTTAGTTTGCTGTCCTTATCTGGATCTTTATGAAAGAGTAGGCAGGGATAATGAATTCCTGTTGGCAAAGGCTTTGCAGTTATCTTCATGGATCTGTAATTTATAATAATTTGACAAAATGACCGTTTCACTGATTGTTGATGGCTTAGACCCATTGCTAGTTAACTCTTTGCGGTCATAGATGATTTGCCTGTTCCTCAAGTTTATCATTTTATGATTTAATTGAAGACTTACAGATGGGAGAAACAAGGAATAACAATAGTTGAAGTTGTTTAAAGCAGTCTAGCAGTCCGGTAGGACTGATTTGATCTGGGTGAAGGGTTTACAAACTCTTACCTTTTAGAAAAGAAATTCTAAAATGCAAGGGATGCTGTTCGAGTGAATGATTTTGGGCTGTTGAATATGTCTTCTTTTTTGCCCCACTAAGTTGCGAATGCAGCATTGCAGCTATTATGATGCGACTTGTATGTTTTCCTAATTTGTTCTACAGTTATCTTGATGTGATTTGATCCTTTTTCATTTTTAACAATTTATTTTAGACATGTAAAATGTAGTGGGGCTTTTTAAACATTCAGGTTATAACTGATGTGATTTACTTCTCACTTAGAATTGATATGTTCCATATCAAGGTTTATTAAAAACTCTGGTCCCTATTGAAATTTACACTCTCTTAGAAGTGATATATAGTTTCTCAGAAATTCTGGCTGATCGCTAGGAAGTTTCACATCTTACTTATTGGACTTTCTTAAAGATCAGGTTGGTCAGTAATGAGGTTTACTCTTCACGTAGAATTATGCAATTTGAACTCTACATATTGACATCTAGATTTCCGTCTTGTTCCATTTAGAGTAAGCTTCAATTGTCAGATTAATCAATATTATCGCTTAAATGTTTTGCCTGGAATTACTGTCATAAAATTTCCCATTCAGAAATATATAAGCATATATCCATATCCAGGAAAGAAGTGTTAGTCAATTGAATTATTGACCATTGTTGGGTGTAAAAATGATTTATAATAAGATTATCCCAAACCTGTTTGTTTTTTATGTCTTCTGTTTCAGACTTTGAACCAGACTGTACCTGTTGGCCTAGTCCCCTCTCCGGTCAAGTAATTAGATTGGACATGGTGCAGAACCAGCCAACTTTGATAAATCCTCTGATCTGAACAGCCTAATTATCGCTGTTGGTCATCATAGAGTTTGCATTTAACTGAATGGTTGACTTACTGGATATGCCTTTTTTCTGGGATTTTGTTGTTTCCTTTATAAATGGTAGCATGAGCAATGTCTTCAACCCCTGTGGATATTGGTGTTGCATGCACACAACACATCCTCTCTATTTTAAATTGATGGTAGATATTTTTGGGGTGTTTCTTTAATAGGTTGGCATGGATGGTGGACTGTCTGTAAAGCATAAATTATCTGGTCACCAGAAACCCGTATCTTCTGTTTCATGGAGTCCTGATGACCAACAGCTCCTCACATGTGGAATAGAGGAGGTCATCAAGCGTTGGGATGTTTCTACTGGCCGGTGCCTTCAAGTCTATGAAAAAGCTGGTCTTGGCCTGGTCTCCTGTGCTTGGGCGCCAACTGGAAAGTATATACTTTCTGGCCTCAGTGACAAGAGCATCTGCACTTGGGAATTGGACGGGAAAGAATTGGAAACTCTGAAAGGACCAAGATCCCTTAAGATTTCTGATTTGGAAGTAATGGGTGATGAGGAAACTATTCTTAGTATTTGTAAAGACAACGTAGTTCAGTTGTTCAACAGAGAAACTAAGGATGAGAGGTTCATTGAAGAGGATCAGACAATAACTTCCTTTTCGTTATCAAAGGATAACAAATTCATGCTGATTAATCTTTGGAACCAAGAAATACATCTTTGGAAGATTGAGGGTGATCCTAAGCTTGTTGGCAAGTACAAAGGCCATAGACGCACCCGGTTTCTTATTAGGTCATGCTTTGGTGGACGTAAGCAAGCATTTATTGCTAGTGGAAGTGAGGATTCACAGGTAAGAATTTATTAACATTCTACATTTTACAAATTGTCGCTTCAAATGAATATAGCTGTTAAGAATTTGTAAGTTGAAGTTAATTTATGTTTCTGTAAATTCTGTTATGCGAAGGCAAAGGCTTTTTAGTTTCACATATGTGATGCAGGCTCAGAATAATCAAGAAAAATATTGGTACGAAATATTCACGAAATAGTGTTCTTCATGGCTTGCTTGGTTTTGAAATTTGTTAAATTAACATATCAGGAAAACTAAGTGAATGATTTACTATTCTGGGCAAAAGACGTACCCTCCCATATACGTGAGTATTTAGAAAGTCTTAATGTACTTGAGTTTGATTCCTACCTTGCCTTTTTTGGTACTCTAGCCCCAAGATGCGGTGCCTTATTTGTAACCCAAAAGAACAAAAGAGTGATCGACATTTTGGTCTTTCATGGATAGATACATCTTATCTCAATTTGCTCTCTGAAAGTTTTAGCGTCTCATTTATGTCTTCCAAACAGCACATTTTTCATAATTGCATCCCTTGATGTAGACAAATAGTTTATAGAAATGAGTATGTGTGACATAATGTGAAGCTAATATGGTCGCAAAATGATATGAAATGTAATAATAAGAAAATCAACTCAAAGTGGCGTATTTTGTGCCTGTCATTACAAATAACGCCACTTTTAGGTTTAAGAAAGCACTTTATGGTGGCATCAACTTCACATTAGGCCGTGCACCCCTTTTTTTTCCCCCGATATCAACCATTAATTGATAGGGCTTAATTTGGGAGCGAAAGTGAAAAGTAGCATTCTTTGGGGAGCTGAGATGTTAGGTAAATAAAACTTAGAAAATTAAGTTGAGACAGCGTATCTCTGGAGGGTAAAATATCACTTTACTTTGAATTTGATTGTACCTTCATTGACATAATGAGGTGTAACACGGCTATGTAATGTTTGTTCTACTATACTAATTTGGAACAAGGGCTATCTTGGTAAATTTACAATTCTTATGGTCGTCTTTAGCATTGTCCACTTGTTACTAGTGTTTCGTAGCTTCCATTTGAGGAGTCCAGGTTTAGAGCTTAGTCCCATGTATACATTAAATTCACTCAACAAGATAAAAATTACTGCTTCAAGAGAATTTCAGCAGCCAAGAAGCTCGTTTCTGTTTGATGTGTAATGCAATTTTATGGTTATAAGTGTGACACAGGCTCTTTTCTCTCTTGACGTTATTCACTTCTTTTTCCTTCAACTTCTAAGGCTTTTGAGCACTGGAAGCCTCTAATCATTGACTTTATCATAACAATCCTTCAAGTGCTAGCTAGGCAATTTTGCTATCCAGCCTTTTTGTGGGGAAGGGATTGCTTTCAAGTTGGTAATCATTTCTGTTCAATTCTATAGAACTACTAAATGTAAGTGTAAATTGACATGATGGGATAGGAGATTATTGATGGATGTCTAGACTCTGCCCTAGATTTGGAATACTGATCATTAATTTTATGACTATCTTATTATGATTTTAATTAGAATTCACATTATTTTTAAATAAATAATTTGGATTAGGTTTATTTTCATCATATTGTTTCCTATTTATTAGAGTTTCCTATTTTTTTTTTAAATTATTTCTTTTGCTTGAAGCTTAGATTCAGGTTTAGGTTGTTTAGTACTCTATAAATAGAACAAGAATTATTATCATCGTAGGCCTTTCATTATTTATATCTCCCCTTGCTATTTCCCTCATCTTTTCTCTTTCCTTTCCCTCCTCTTGTTCTACATCATGATGGTTTTTCAATTTCCATTGTGGCTTGTGCAGGTATACATATGGCACAGAAGTACAGGGGATCTAATAGAGGCATTGCCAGGTCATTCTGGAGCTGTTAACTGTGTGACTTGGAATCCTGCTAACCCCCACATGTTGGCCTCGGCCAGTGATGACCGAACAATTCGGATCTGGGGTTTGAATTGTCTGAATGTAAAGTACCAAAATGCAACTTGCAATGGCATCCATCACTGCAATGGAGCAACTTAAAGTTGGAGCCATACTTATCATCATAATCACATTTCATTCCTTCTTTCTTTTGTCATTGCAATTGTGTAAATACTTTACTAACACCACAAGTGGACATTCATGTCAATCATGCATCTGACTTTCTCATCTCTAGTTCTCTTAATAAATTCATGTTACATTTATCCTTTATCTTTTCTCATTCTTTTCTGATGCATTTGATTGACTTAGAAAGAAAACAATATATAAGTAGTTATCTTGATTATCTTTGACAGGTTTTGAATTGATTTACAGCAAATATATGGTTTTTACAGTTTAGTGTTGTATGATTAGTTCTTTTTGAAGTTTTTATGCATTATAATTTATTGGACTACTTAATTGGCATATACATAAACTTAGGCCATTGTTTTGAGGTATGGTTGGCATGAGTCTCATTGGAAATGCTATGTATTTAACGTCATTAGTTTGATTTAGTGCTGTCAAAACAAGTTAAATGGGTCAAATGTGTCAACTAATAACTGGTCGAGTTAAACAAATTGCTTCATTTAAGTTATTGGAGTTTGATGGGGTTAAACTTAAAATCAAAACTTTGGTTGAATGTGCAAATCCGCGAAACCCATTAATTTTTTTTTTTTAAATAAAGTGTCAATATATACCTCAACGTTTAACTTTCTAGCATTTTCTTTGGGGAAAAAAATCTGAATATCTTGTGTCATTATAACGTCTTAAACTTCAATATTTGAATATCTAAGTAAAATTGGCCATTTAGTGACGAGATGCTGAGTCAATTCTAGGTTGTATGTCCATTTTTCAGAATACAGGAATTTAATATTGGTTTTCCTTGAAGACATTTTTTGATCGAATATTGGGTATCAATGTTTGCCTCTCCTAGTAGAAGTCTACCAATGCCAAACTCCTTCCCCCCAAAACTTTCCTCATTCTTCCATTCACAAATATTTTTTCAAAAGTTAAATGTAAAAATGCTTTGCAACTTTTTTTTCCATGAATACTTGATATTTTTAAGTGAATAAAGGCACAAAAATATTCATGAATTTATTTTAATAAGTACAACAATCTCCATTCTTTTAAATTTGACTGACGTTTGTTAATGTTGAACACTTACAAAAAAAAGCAAATATAAGGTGCAAAAATATCTATGAACTTTTTTTCTAGGAGCTTTTGATATCTTAAAATTAATAATAATGCATGAATATCCATTAATTTTATAAAATATGCCAACCTTCCCAAATCCATTAGGTTCTTTTCTTAGAACTTCTTGATCAATGTTAAGTTATTTTAATACATTAAAAAATATTAGAGCTAGTGATTTGGATCAAGTTTGATGAGCCAATTAGAATAAACCCAAAAAAGTATAGGATTGGGTTTGAAAGTTTAGAAAGTTTTCTTTTGTCCAAAACAATGAGTGCTAAGCCCATTAAGACTATTTGAATGCTTTTTAATTATTAATAAAATTTTGATAAAAATTGAAAATCTTAATTTTTTTTAAGAAAAAGATTGAAATGGACTAAAAAAATAAAATAATATTTAACAATTTGGGTATTCGAGCCAACCCAAATAAGCCTAAAAGTCTGAGTTGTTAGGGTCAAGTTTGGCTATATAGCCCATTTTATAAAGTTAAATGATATTTATATATCATTGTTGACTTAAGAATATTAAAAGTTCTTGGAGAAGAAGTTTTTAAATATTTTTGCATTTATATTTGTTTTCTCTTTTTTGACGAGCAAAATTAATGGGCATTAGTCAAATTTAATGAAATGAAAATTGTTGCATTCGTTGTAATAAGTTCATGGGTATTTTTACATCTTTATTCACTTAAGGATATTGTGTGTCTCTCGAAGAAAATGATGGATGTTTTTGCCCTTTAAACCCTTTTTTAATAATATAATATATTGATTTGGATTTTAGGATAGTTTTAAATTTTGATTTTGATTTTAATATTATGGTGAGTTTTATGAGTCAATTACCTGATTTAATCCATGAGGTAATTGAGCCAAATCCATTTGATCCTATTATTTTTTGAAAAGAAAATCGCAACTCAACTTATTCAAATTGGTGAATTAAACAAGCTAGTTTGTTAGATTCAACCCATTTTAATGATTCTACTTTTATTGTGGAGTCGTATGATTTTTGGTGTTTTTACAAGTTACAATTTTTTATTGAAATATCAATCAGGTCATAGAGTCTAAGGCCACACAAAACACTTATAGGACAAGACTTCAATCTAGTAAGAGTTTGGTTTCTTTCATAAAGTTAGACTCTTGGGAGTCTAATGAATTTGATAAAATTAATGAAATTTCTAAACTAATTAACAAAATGATTTTAAAATGATATGTTAGGTTATAAGTAGTGTTGGGTATATACCCGTGCCTGATAATGGTAAACTCTATAATGTTAATTGTAAATTGATATTTTGTGGTTGTTGTGCGTAATTGAAATCTTTATAGAAGCATGTTTTGAGTGCCCTTTTGATTGACTTAAGAGGTGAAGATAATCGAGAACTTAAATTCCCTCATATATTAATTATAATATTTATTATATATTTTTTATAAACAATGTTCTCGAGGAAAAAGATGTAAGCATGAACTCTCTCTCTCTCTCTCTATATATATATACACACACACATGTGAGAATATATGAAAGATGTATGTATATGTGATTTATGTATTGCAATTTTGAACAATGAATTGGAATATTGAATGTGATATATTATGAATTATTGTAAAATTATGAATTGTTATTATGAAATCATGAATTATTTTGGAATATATGATTTGCATATATAGTAAAAATATTAAAAATATGAGACTGGCATGATTATAAATGTGATGTATATGTGTGACATATATAAGTTAGAATTCACCGTGTGATATGAGAGATTGTATTTAACTCCACGTGGCATGGACAATTTCTAGATAGTGTCCAAAGTTGTTTAGCTGTGGTACTAACTTTGACGAGGGTTAGGTGTGGTTTCGGCTTAGACGATAATGCTCACTCTGAAAGTGGGTATGTGTACCGTCACTTATATGACATCATGTGGGCAAGGGAGTTAATGATCCAAGTTTGGGGAGTGATAACCTTTAGTTGGGTTACCCCTCCAATATTAGAGAGCTTGGGTTAAGTCAGGATATCTAGATTTAGTCTTATTACTTAGCAACCCATGGACTCAGTTAGATGAAATAAGGAGGTTATAAGATAGTAGATGATCATGCATGCATATTTATGTGAATATGTGGTATAATATATGAATATGTGGTATTTCATGTGATTTTGTGGTTTGGAGTATGGGATTGTTATGTTTACATAACTTTAAATGATGTTTGAATATATGCTAGAGGTTAAGAATTCCTTAATTATTGAGATGTTTATCTCACTCACTGCTGCTAGTGTTTTTACTAGTGACGTTTCATAGATGCAAAGGAAAAAGGAACTAGAGACACATAAGCAGCAATTGCTTGTAATGCCTTAGTGCATATGTGTAGAGAATTTATATTATATATATTTATATATTGCCAACTAAAAATGTCAATACATATTTATTGTGAGTATATGTTTTTGATAGATTAAAGTGGCTAACTCCCTGAGTACAAGCCTATGAGGGCTATGGTTGGTTAGTTAAATAAAAATTGAATTTATAATTATATTTGTCAAATAAGAAGTATGATAAGATTATACTAAGATATGGGATAAGTGATGTAATGTTGTGGACTCTTTCAGTTAAATTGTGCCATGAGACCAGTTAGTAGAATTAAATTATGTTTTACTTTGCTTGTACAAATGTGAATTGTGCAAAATGTTTGTATTAAAATGTTTGTATTATTATTTTAAATTAAGATGTGTCCAAGATAGAGCTAACAAATGTTGAAATAGGAGTCAGACATTTATGATGACTTTTGGATTGCTCAGTATATGCTTCCATGTAATTGTTTGCTCTGTTTTAAAAGTTTTGAAGTCAACTTTTTTAGTAAATGATTTTAAAAATTTGGAACTCATTTTTCAAGAATTTTCTAATAAAAATCAAAATTGACTCTTTTAAACTTAGTATTCTTAATGATCATGGATTATGAATGTTAATGAGTTAATTAATAAGCAAGAGCTTACAATATTGTTTTTTTTTATTTTGATTCCAATAAATTACACTTATTATACAAATATTGTCATTCTCATTACGTTAATTATTTTCTATCAATTGGTTTGTTAACATAGCTATGTCAAAGCGAAGGAGTCAAAGTGACGTGTGAAATGCATCTAATGATGAAAAATGTTTTTGGACCAATACTATGAAAGATGCTCTTGTCAATGCATATGTACATCAACACAATTTTGGAAATAGGCTAGAAGGGACATTCACATCAAAAACACTAGAAGAAATTTTATTAGAGATGAGAGAAAAGTTTCTTGACAACCAACTGGATAAAACCAAAATAACAGATCATATGAAACGATTGAAGAAAAAATTTACTCCTTGCTATGACTTATTCAAGAATGGCTTGAGTGGATTTGGATAGGACTCAAGCACAAATTTGTGGACTACAAAACTAGAAACTTGGGAAAAGTTAATTGAGGTAATAATATATTAGTCAATTATTTACACAAATGGTTAATGAGACAAGTATTGATCATTCCAATTGAATTAACTTTAATTATATATTCTTTTGTCTAGGCAAAATGCAAAACCTAAAGCTACTATATGAAGACACAAACTAATATTATATTATGAGAAAATGCTTACATTGTATGGACAAAATACAGTGAGTGGTGAGTAGGTAGGAAATACATCAGAGGTCAAACAAAAAAACTCTACACCAATTGAAATTGAATTTGATTCATTAGAAGAAATTGACATGTTAATTTTTAACAATGAAACAAACTTGCATGACTTTTTTTTTTAAAAAAAAAACAAACTTGCATGACTTTGATGTGAACAACAATGAAGAGGTTGATATTTCTTTAGAAACAAGATCTCAAGCTACAATTATATCAAAGGATAAGAAGGAAAAAAAAAAGGTAAAATGACTAATGAAGACTTGGGCATGAAGATGTTTGTCAAGTCATCAAATAGCATGTTTGAAGTTTTCGCAAAATGCTCTAAAGATTTTTCAAAGTATGGCGTGGAAATAGTTAAGAGTCAACAAGCATGTCCTGTATTAGAAAGTGAAGTTTGGGTTCTTTTAGAAGGATTGCAGCTAGAATGAGGCATGTTTATCGAAACTTATGTGCACATAGTACAAAATATTGATGATCAAAGAACACTGATTGGTTGTCTCCCAGAGATTCACAAGGAGATTGTAATAGTTTTGATGTTTTTTAAGAATAATGATAGTGTATCCTAATTTATATATTTATATTCAAAACTAAGTTATCTTTTTTTCTTAATTCTTAGATACCTTGTTTTGACAATTAATTTTATTATTATTATTTTTTGTTGGATAAATATTATAATTATTTAATGGACATTATTTTTTTTAAATTTAGTTATATAGGTAATATTGGAAGAAAAATGTCTTAATTCAATCTGCTTCATCTATTTTATAATAACTCTCAAATAATGGTTATAAGACCATTTCTTCCCATCATAAAACTCTCAAACAATGAAAATTTTTGTTCTATTTCATTAATGACCATTCCATTCTATTTAATCCTAAACTCCTAAATGCACTCTTAAATAATGTCTAAATAATTTACCTAATTCTTAAATTATAGTTCAGGCCAATGTCCTACAAACTAAATTCTATTGTCTTTAATTAAATATGATTTTTATTTATTACATGAAACTTGGAAAATAAGTTGTACTATTAATCTATAAATAGTATATCTTTCTATAGATTTTATTTTTTATATACACAGGCTATGATATTTCTAAATGATATCTCTAATTAAAATACGGGGAAAAAAAAAGTGTTTTGGGGATTATTGCATAGGCCAATTTTGATGCTTCTGACTTATTGCCAATTAGTCTAGTTGGTCACAATATCATAGCATGAAATGCAAAAGAACATTCATCTTGAAATGACTTACAAAAACTATCGACTATCGAAAAATCAAGATACATGAAATTGTTCTTAAATACATTTGCGTAAGTCATGATATTCGTTGTGTTGTATCTAATATACATTGAAACAAAGATGAAGTCTGCAATCAGGCAGAGGAAAGCCAAATTTCTGTTTATTCATCTTTCTTTTTCCATTTTTGTCTTTGCCCTGAGATTGATTTAAAAGCAAAACAAAAAAAAAAAAGTCCCTTGGCACTGGACAAAGGGGATCACTGTCTCAGGATCCATGTCATTTTCGTACTGTTTAACCTACTGATCCTAGCAATTGCTCTCTGCTTCATCATCAAGATGATCTATAAATGGCAAAACCTCATCTTTTTCCATGTGACTGGTAAGATTTTCAAGACATTCATTGATTGATTCTATTTGCCAGTATGAATTGTCTTCAACAAAGAAAGGTTGGATCTTCTGGTCAATCTCAATCCAACTACACCCAGGCCTCTTCTTTAGTCCAAGCTCTCTCATCTTTAATCTTACCTTCCGCACCTCATCCCATTTCTGAACAGAAGCATAAATGCCGGATAAAATAATATAAGTTGAATGATCATCTGGGTCCTTATCAACGAGTGTTTCTGCAATTTTAACTCCTAAATCAAAATCTCTGTACAGACGACATGCAGAAAGTAATGTGCTTAGCAACCCTGCATCATCCCTGATTTCTGGGTTTCTTTGCAGAATCTCATAAGCTTCATGCAATCTTCCAGCACGTCCGAGAAGATCAATGACACATGAATAGTGTTCCACTCTAGGTCTAATGCCATAAACATTGATCATTTGGTTGAACAGAGAAAATCCTTCGTCAACCATCCCAGCATGACTGCAAGCAGATAATATGGCAAGAAAGGCAACTCTGTCAGGTTTTACATTGAACCGCTTCATTTCGGCAAAAAGCTCCAAGGCTTCCAATACTCGACCATGAGATCCACATGCAGTGATCATGGAAGTCCAGGATACCAGATCTCCCTCCGGTAAGCACTTGAAAACACTAAATGCTTCATCTACGGCACCGCATTTTGCATACATGTCAAGGAGAGCCCCCATAACAACTTCATTGTTTTTGAGCTTTTTCTCAATGATGAGATTGTGAATCTCTTTGCCCTTTTCTAGTGCTGCTAGTTGCGAGCAAGATGCTAAAACGCTGGTAAAAGTAATAGCATCTGGTTCAACATAAGCTTCTTTCATTTGACTAAAGATGCAAAGGGCTTCAAAATACATCCCTGCAGTCACATATCCTGAAATCATCACATTCCAAGGAACTGAACTTGTCTTTGGTATTGTTGTAAAAACATTTTCAGCTGACTTGACCCTGCCACATTTGAAGTATAGATCCATGAGTGAGCTATTGATAAAAATATCGGGCTGTATTCTGTTTCGTATGATATAACCATGTATTAGTGTACCATCATGTAGCCGGGCTGACCGTGAACAAGCCATTATTATGCTGCTTATAGTAGTCAAACTTGGGTTAAGACCCTCATTGTGCATCCTATTAAAAAGTTTGATACATGAAATACTATCACCTTTCAAACCATAACCGGCAATCATGGAATTCCAAGCAACTATAGTCTTTCTTGGTATTTGCTCAAAAATCTCTATGGCCATTTCTAGATCACCGCATTTTCCATACATGTCAACAAGAGCAGAGCTAACAAAGCTATCTGAAAGAAACACACTACTTACCAATTCTTTATGAATTTCCCTTCCCCTGTCCAAGTCCAGAAGTTTAGCACAAGATGAAATAGCAGTAGTGATTGTCACAGAATCAGGCGCAAAACCACATCTTTTCATTACCTCAAAATATTGTAGCGCCTCTTCAAACTTTCCACTTTGGTAATAGCAAGAAATTACTGAATTCCAACATGCTACATCCTTTTCAGGCAGTTCATCAAACACCTTGATTGCATACTCCAATCCATTGCATTTAGCATACATGCTCAAAAGAGAGCTTCCAACTACCACATCAGTTATTAACCCAGTTTTGATCAAACATGCTTGAAAAATTTGTCCACAACCAATTCTACCCTTTGCTCCATAGGCCTTAAGAACACTGGGATACGTGTAAAAATCAGGCTTTAAGCAAGGGTTAGCTAATAACTTCTCAAAGACGTCTAGAGCTTCTGAGTACATAAAATTCTTAGTGTAAGCCGCCATCAGGCAATTCCACAAAGATATCTCTGATGGGTTTTCAACGGAACAAAAAACATACTTTGCATAATCATACAAATGGGCAGAGAAGTAAAGATTTATCAGGTCCTTGCATAAGGCAAAATCATTCTGTAAGCCTAAAGTGACAACCCTTTGATGAATGAGCTTCCCTTGCTTCAGTGACTTGGAACTAATGCAGGATCTCAAAAGGAGTAGTAGTTTTCTTTTGTCCATTCAACAAAGGAGTGAAGAGACAGCAGATTTGCAAATGCAAAAGGTGAAACCGCGGAACAATCAAGCGTTCAAATTCAGTACGTGAAGGCTTATGGAACTTCATATGTTTAAGAAATGCAGCTTCCCTTAACCACAAAGCATGAAAGACAGAAGAGTCTAAGCTTCCTAAAACAGAGAGAGGAGTTTACCGGAAAGAGAAGCAGAAGCACCAATAATGAAACACAACACCAGACCGCAACATCAAATACAATGTACGCAGCTCACTTAAACAGGTACTTTTTCTCAGCCTACAATCCGCTCTTGCGAGCCACCGTCGAGTTCTCAAGCCTCGCGACCGGAAATCTCTGATCTCAGGTGGAGGGAGCGGCAGCAATGCGAAATTAGAAGGGCGGATGGAGCTTGCTTCAACAAAAGTTTGATAATTTGCGCACTAAAAAAACAGTCGCTAGTTGGATAAATTTTTATGTATAATTATTTAAAAAAAAAAAAACATCTCATCAATTTTTTTTAACTTTGTCTCACTTCTAATGCCTAGGTAAGTGACATTTTCATCAACAATTATATAAAAAAAACAATTAATGCCTTATAGAAAAATTTTTGTGAAAAACATTATACATGTTGGTCATTGACAATAAATTCCTTTTCCTATATCAAAGAATCACACATCATAAAAAGCTTTCGATAAAGAACATTATAAAAATTAGAAGTAATAGAAAAATTTAAAAAAAATATATAAGAGAGATATCAAAAGAATAAAAAGAAAAAAAATTATCAAGGTTGTGAACGGGAAGGCAAGAGAAGTTACACATTTGAATGAAGGAAAGTATTTTTACTTCTTAAAACAAATATGAAATATGAAAAATTAGATGAGGGCAAAATAGTCAAAAAAAAATTGGCTCTACTCCAAAAACCATCAATTTGGAGGGGGCCACCCCCTCTAAATTTTTATCCCCTCCCTTCAAATTTTTCAAATTAAATGAGGAGAGGGAGTCATCTACCATTTCCTTCAATCTCCTCCAACCAAACATATCCTTAGGCAAAATTAATAGCAACAATCATAAAATAAAGATTTTTGGATAATAGGACTAAGGTGCTTCAAATGAATTAAAGTTATAGTCTTAATTCACTTAAAAAGATATGAGGGTTTTTTTTTTTTTGAGGAAATCACTATAAAGTTCCTTCTAAACATTCTTTTTTTAAAGCAAAATCTCCCTCTAAACATTCTAATTCTAATCACTTAAAAATCTCTCCACATACATAAATTTTTATAAAGTTTCAAGAGATATGACAGTAAATAAGATTTTTTATTAAGTAACTAAAATATCTTTTTTTTTAAAATGGAATTGCATAGCACTTGCTCACACACAGGTCTTATTTGATATGATAGAAAATTTTTTAATAGAATTAAAATTGAAATTAGAATAGAATTTAGTTATAAATGTATGTTTGATATGAAAATAGAATATGGATATAATATTAATAAATATATGTATTTAAAATAAATAAAGACCAAAATGGCCTTATAAAAATTAAAAACAAAATCTCAGCCATCACCATCTGCAACCATCACATCAATTTCAAAAAACACCATTAACACACTATCAAACCATAAATTTAGAGAAGAAGCACGTGCCTTCAATTTCATCTTCCCTCTAGGGTTCGATTTATGTTGCTTGTTTGACTCAAGGACTATATTTGAAGGACCAAATCAAGAAACTTCCTCCACAATTGTAGCCTCCAACAATAATCAAACCAACCTCAGATTCTGTGATAACTTCCCAATTGTTTTCAAGTTATGGAGAAATGTAGAAGAGATGACGAGAGAGACAGGGGGAGGAGTTGATCAACATAGAGGGACTAACATCCTAAATTTCAAACGTTGAAATTTCAAGTATTTAAGGGGTAATTTGGTCAAAATAAGTGATTTATGAACTAATGATATTTTTAGAGCACTAATAAGGTTTTTAGACCTTTGGACAACTTGAGAAATAAGCTATGTCAGTGTACACGCCAACCGGGCTCAAGTAGGTAGCTGAAATGGCATGTGGCATTTGTTGTGCCATGTGCTACAGTGCACAACACATTTTAGACATAGAACAGATGAGAAACGTGACTGATTTTAGAAGGAGAAAAGAAAGAAAATGTGAGGATTAATGGAGGAAGAGCTCATGGGTGCTAGGGCTTGATCTTATAAGCTATTTGGAGGCATTTTGAGCAAAATTCATCATTGGATAAGATTCTTATGTCTCTTTCTTCTCTATTATGTGAAATTTCTAAATGTTTGGGGTAATGTGGGACTTGATTTCATATTTTCTTGGGTTTTGACCGAACCCATTGCCTTAGTTAAGGTCTTGAAAAATTAAATTAAGCTTCTAAACTTATATTTATGAGTTTTGTAGTAATTTAAAATTTTTGCTAGGGTTTAGACAAGCCCTAAATAAAATTTGAGAGTTTGGAAGTAATGTGGGTAGAGGATTGGTGACATTAGTGCGTTTGGATATTAAATAGAATTAATGAAGTGTATTGGAAGTGTCAAGGGTGTTGAAGTAAGGTTTGGGGTATTGTGGATATCTAAAATTATGTTAAAAGGGAGTTAATTAGAGTGAGAATTGATGATTAAATATTTAATCTTATAGATTTAATATTGATTGAGTGTTGATATGCTAGTGGGCACTTATGGATCTAAGTTTTGACCACTGTAATCCTTTTATGGCAATAAGATAACAGGATTATCTAAACCTTCTATTTGTGTGTTTGGATGGTTGTGTAATAATTGCAAAAGCTAATATTATTTTTTTGGACTAGTATAGTATCATATGAAAAATATTTATAATTTAGAAATTTTATGTGAAGTGAAATGGATAATTATACTTTTCTCATTATCGTTTTGAAAGCTAAATCCTATATTTATGCATATTTATTTGTTAAATTGTGTGATTTATGGTGGAAATGATTATTATAGTGTAAATTATATATTTCTAGCTATGTGTGGATTTGTTGAGTAAATGTTTGTCATGATCATTATGAGAGGGTGGGAGTTCATCTTAGTCTAGTGTTAAGAACAATGTTTAGAAATTCATATAGCACATTGGCATCGTGGAGGCTTCAATGCACAATTCTATATTTGTTTGATAGTTCCAATACTATTTGAGATAGAATGGGCATACGACACTCCGTATATTTGTGAAAAGGGGGAATCTATGGTCCATAGTGGGTGAAGGTGCCCTTGGTTGAGGTTGCTTCTCATGATTAGTAAGCTTGAGTCGATTCAGTCATATGGATTTAGTTTTATCGAATTGTCAACCCATAGATTTAGGTAGAAGAAATAAGGAAAATATAAGGTTGTGTGTTGATTATGTATAACTTTATTGTATAGCCATACGTGTGTATATGGAACTTGTTGTATATGTTTAAATGCCACTGTACATACTCACTAACTATTATCATACACGAGCGGTTTATTTAGATTATTTAGTTATTGAGTCCTCAACTCACTCTGTGGTTATATTTTATAAGTGAAGGCTTCGATAGGGGTAACGAGAAGAAAGGTGCTATGAGAATTGAGGGACTTGTAATTATATAGTCCTCTCTTTATTTTTTGGTTTTGTAATAAATTATTTATATTTATGCCATTTTAGGATCATGTTAAGTTTTGAGGTCACTTGCATGAGAAATATTATAATTGTGGGTATCTCTACTTGAAATGTTGAAATTGTGATGAAATTGTTGTGAGTAGTTGAGATACCGATACAAGAATGTTTTTATGTTGATCATGTGTTGGAATGGCCATAAAGATTATTATTGTGAATTGTTGTTACCCCTTGAATTTATGTTGAATTTAGGATTTTGATAGTCAATTCTTGGGTAGAATGTTATTGTTGTGGTTTAACTATGCAATTAGGTTGTTTATAGTTCATTTGAGTTGGTTCAAGTGGTTCCATAGTTACTGGCGCTAGGTTTATGGGTTTTGACACCCTTTATGGTTGTTTTGAATGGAAAATAGATCATTTTATATTCGAATGTCTAACTTTTTATTGGTAAGGTGTATAGGTATGAGATTGGTGCCAATAGCTAGGTGGTTCTAAGAGCTACGTGTGGACGCTTGAATCGGTCAAATTGGACATTACATGGTGAAACAACGCCCTCAAAAATTTGGTCCTAGAGTGTTATCATGATAGCTATTTATTGTCATGACAGCAGGAGTACGGCACGGCATAGGGGGTGTGCACAATGGTGCATTACATAGTGAGATGTCTGGGATCTTTGTGTCATCCGCTGTGGCGAATGACACATACACCGCAGCGAATGGAGCATTTTGGAGGTAATCTATGCTTGTTTGTAATATTGTTTGATTCCTTTACTTCCGCTATCTTAATTAATTGTTTTTAACTATAGTTTAAGCTCAAACTTCTTTCAAAAGGGATTCTTGGGATCCTAATTTCTTAAATTATTTTCTAAACATGAGAATTATGATAACCTTATATAAATAATTTAATTAATCTTGTAATTAATCTTAGTTATCATAGTAATGTCTTGTTTTGTGTTTAGTATATTTGGTAATGTTAAAGAGGACATTACAATGACAAAAGGGTGATAAAGCTGGAACATTAAAACCCAAATTTGATGGTAGCCGAGGTGCTTGTGGAAGTAGGAGTAAAGGTGATGGGTAGCCATATGATCAAGACGTTGCTAAGGTCTTACAGTAGGAAGAAGGTGGCTGTCTGGTTAGGACATTGCTGGGTTGATGGCAAAGGTAAGGGGTCGATGAATGCAAGGGGTTAGGATTAATAGTGGGGGCTAGAGGAGAGAGAAAGAGAAAGAGAAAGAGGGGGTATTGATGACAATTCCAAAGAATTGTCCCAATTTCATTATAATAAGGATGGAATTGGATTTTAGGTATTTTGACAGAATTAAAATTCATAAAGAATTTGGATTCATGCATATTGAACTATTAAAAGCATGATTTCAATTCCATGTCTCTCCCCTCCTCTCTCTTTCTTTGCACCCTCCTTCTTCAAAACTCAAACGCTCTCTTCTCCTCCTTTTTCTTCTACTTGGCACCTTCTTCTTTTATATTTTTTGAAGCTTAAATTCCTTTCTCAACTGCATCATTTTGACAATTGTTTGAGGATATATTATGTCTTTTTGAAATTTAAGTGTTTTCTCCATAAATCACCATATTAATGGCTATGTATGTTTTTGTTTCAAAGGTTTTGTGGGTGGGGGGTTAGATTTGTGCAATATAGCAATGCTTTGGTACTTCCTTTAGGAAAAAAAAAGAAACCAAATCCGAACTTGTATGTGTTGTTTTCAAGGTTTATGGCGGCTTTTAAATTTATAGAATAAAAGAAGAAGAATGAAGGTGCAAAGAAAGAGTGGGGGAGAGGAAAAGGAAGAGAGATAGGGTTGAGGCAATTCCTTTTCCCCCCCCCCAAAGCATGGGTGTTTTTGGTTATTGCACAAGAAATCTTATTTATTGTTAAGTCCCTTAGAGTCTTTTAGTCATTTATACATTTAGTGGGACTTTTAAATGATTAGAATGCTTATAAGTGATTTTATAGTGATTTCCCTCCCCCCTCCCTTTTTTTAAAAAAACAATCTTATCTCATGGCCCTTCATACTAATTTCACCCAATCTTTTATATATTCTTTTATATGGCTTTAATCAATATGCCTTTTGAACTAAAATATAGAGTAATGGTAATTAATTCACGAATTTCAAAAAATATGAGTTGAATCTTTAATTTCTTAAAAGGTTTTTTTAATTATATTCTTATTAAATACTTTACATAAGAACATTGATAATAGTGATTAAAACTCCAATGCATTATTTTTTTTAAAAAAAGAGTAATAAATAAAGTAGGGATACAATTGAAAAAATAATTATAAAAGTTATCTAATACCTTATATTTCGAACCAAGTAAGGCTTTTAAAAAATGCTTTATATTATAGGTACGGAGGAGGGGAGTATACACGAGGGGCATTGTTGTATGAAAAAATGTTCAAGATTAAATTTAGACTTTAATGAATCCTTTACTTCTTTGGGCAAAGTTGATGTAGAGAAGCAAGATAAGTGATTAAAATTTGAGTTTAAAACAAGATAACTAATATCTGGAATACTTAATTAAAGTGTTTTATTATTGCGCCAACTTGTGCAAAAGTTATACTCCCAAGCATATATCAAACATAAGATTTTCAATTCCTAGTAGCTTCTTGGCTCAATAGCACTCTCCACTCTCTTAAAAGAAGGTTATGAATTTTTTAACTCGTGTGTTGGAAGGAGTGGGCGTGTGAGTGTGTGCATGTGTCACTTTTTTATATGAGAAAATGGATAAATACATAGGCATGTTTAAGTATTTGTATGTGATCCTTGAAAAAATTAAATGTGATGGAAAAAGCCATTATATATACATATAAACTGCCAATATAATTGATGAAGGGGAAGAATAAAGAGTTGATAATTTAAATTTAACACATACAATTTCTTGTGCCCATGGGATGTTCAAGACCATCAGATGGACAATGGTTGAAAAAATGCGAATTTAATGCCAGATCATTATATAATAGAATTCTCATTGCTGGAATGGTTTTGCTTTTTTGAAAGGAAAAATTACTCATAGGTCTATGGAGCAAATTTATTTATAAATAAGTCTCACAAAATTCATAAACCACAATCAAGTCCCTCGAGACTTGAGTATAATTTGAAATTAGATTCCAAAAATAATAATATCCCTGTTAAACATATAATACATCAATCAAATAATTAATTTACAGTTACTTTATTAGTAATTTATAACTATCATTTTAACTTGTACAAGTGTAACTTCACATATTTAATAGTTAAACAATCATGCTTTATTAACAAAGTTTAATATTAATTGTTTATAACTATTTTATTAGTAATTTATAGCTATAACTTTAACTTTTTACGATTATCACTTAACATATTTAATAGTTAAACTGACTAATTTAATTTAATTATTGAATATATAAAATTACAGTTGTAAAAAATTAAAATTATAATTGTAAATTATTAATAAAATAGTTGTCAATTCTTTAACTAATGTAATGTATATATGTTTGACAGGGACATTATTGTCTTTTTATCTAAATTTAAAATTACATTCAGGTCTCAAGTAACTTAGTTGTGATTTTTAAATTTTGCATGATTCATTTATAAATAAGTTAGCTCCATGGAATTTATGTATAATTTTTCCTACACTCAAGACACTGAAGATTTTTACCTCCTTTACTGCAAATTGGCTCTACAGTAGATTCACACTCAAGATACTAAATCTTAGTGTGTGTGTTAATTTGTTTTTCCTTAAAAAAAAAACCATTTGAATATTGTGTTGTCATGTGCTGAAAATATAAGTAAAAGTTGGAAAAAAAATAGCAAAAAAAAAAAGTAAGTAAAAGCAAGCAAAAGAATACGAAAATTATGCATAAGTAATACATTATCAAGCAATGGGCTAGGGAAGCAAGAAGTCATGTTGTAAATGGTATTAGAGGGAGTGAAATTTTAGACTTGAAATCACAAACAATTCATGCATAAAATGTAAAAATTAGAAAAGAAAAGTTGCCAAAATTCTTGAAAGTTTTGAGCAATGTTCAAATTCCGTCACCTTTGCTAAAAAAAAAGGGAGGGGAGTTAAGGGTTATTTTTGTCTTGAACTATATACAAAAGGTCATAAATTCTTTGAAATTCAATTATGAATTAATTCTACCTCTTAACTTTAAAAATATCCTTTTTCATTACCTTGCCGTTTTCTTATTGTTAATTGTCCACTAGTGAGCCCCACATTATATTTTTTTAATATTTTTTATTATAAAATATTTGAGTTGAGAGACAAAAATAACTCTTCTAATAAAAGTTGAGGGGTAAAAATGACCCTTAACCTAATAAAAAATATTAAGAAATAGTGAGACTCACTGATGATTAATAGACGTTAAGTATTTTTAACATCAGGGTGATGACGGAGGGAATCCATAAAGTTAAGAGATAAAATTGACCTACTGTTGAGTTTAGGAGTATTTGTGACATTTTATGTACAATTCAAAAACAAAAATGATTCTTAACCAAAAAAAAAGTTTGAGTTAGTAGTGGTCACAATAGCAAACTTCCCATCCCACATGCAAATTGTGATATAAAAAAATTGATCTTTTAGAGAAGGGAACACAAAAAAGAAAATATACATGTAAAGGATATGTGGCTTCAAAAATCAGATTACTTAAAATTTGACCTTTAAGAAAGATATATAACATAACCAGTCAAAAGATGGTTAATTCATAATTCATTAATCTTTACATGTATATTATTTTACTTACTTCCTTTGTTAAAAAATATAAGACATTTTTAACTGAATCTCACTCTAAATAAAGTAGTTACTTGTTTTTAAATTAACACTATCTTTTCATATTTACTTTTATTTGATAGAGTGTTTAACTGTAAAATAAATATAAAAGGATTTATTTAATAGGAATACTTAAAAAAAAGATAATGATTACATATTAAAAGATTAAAAATACCTTATATTTTTAACATCCAATTCTTCAAAAAATAAATTATATTTTTAAATGAAGGGAGAGTATTATTTTTGAAACACATTGCAAATTGTTACTTGTAGTAGCATCTTTATAGGTATATAATGAATTGACCTCATAGTTAAAATATTTATTAATTAAAATAAAATATAAAAATAAATAAGAATAATTTTGAAGCCTTTACACGAGCAATAAAAAATTATTAATATCAATATATAATTATTTATTTACAAAATTCATAATCTATAGTTGCATCAAGAGGTAGAACAAAAAATACTTTTAAAAAAGTTAAAGAACCAAATTAAAATTTTATATTCCATCCGTTAAAAAATATAAAATATTTTTAATCAAGTCTCACTCTCTAATAAAATAGTTACATATTTTTAAACTAATCATATTTTTTCATATCCAGCCCTATAAAATACCGTACAATAAATATAAAATTATTATTAATAGGGATACTTTTAGAAAAAGTTAATGATTGTACCTCAAAAGAAATATAGTACTTGTGAATTATAATTATATTATATCATATTTTCATCAAAAAATAATTATATTATATTATAAATTATAATTTATTACATGCTTTTTTGGTGTATTGAAATAAGGTTGAAAAAAGTAGTGATTCCGTCAACAATAAATTGTTCTAGCTCTCTTGAAAAAGATCCTAAATTTCAATCTACTATTGATACATCTGTGTGGTTGCGTGTGCCTCTGCTTTTGTATTCAAAAGGGTTAGGTTATGGGTGAATTTTTTTAATTAAATAAATATAATTTTTAATTTTTATGCTTTACTTGTCTTTTATTTTTAAATTTTATATTTTTTTAGTATTTTAAATTTTTAAATTTTTATTTTTTATTATTTTTAATTTTTCTATGAATAAAGTAAAGAAACTTTAAAAGAATTCAAACTAATAAAAAGTAAAAATATAAAAATATAAAATATCATAAAAAATATAAAAATAAAAAACAAAACGCGAGGAAATTACATAGATAAAAAATTATGCCTATTATTATTATTGTTATTATTTTTTGTGGGAAAAAGTCGCGATTCGAAGGGTACATGTGGAGCAGCCGAAGCAGAAACGTAGGGCAAAATAAAAGCACCGGAAACAACGAGAGCAATGTGCCTTAACTCGAAGAAGGCCCATGACTTGCCGACTCCGTGCACCACTGTGTTGTTTCTGAGACTATTCATCTTCGTCTTCATATATCTTCTTCGTGGTCAACCTTAGCCTCTCTTCAGTTTTATTCGGAACGTACCCTCGGTAAGATTTTTTTCGATACAATGACCAAGAGGAGACGGCCCGGGAATGGACAGCCACTTCAGAGCCAGAATCCAAAAGTTGATGAGCCCACGCGGATTCGATTTAGCCAGATATTACAAGAGTTTCAGAAATCCAATGAGAAAGGTATTGCTGGTTTTCGAATGCCTCGTGATTTGGTGTTGTATGCATTTGTTGCGTGATGCAGATACGTGATGTGGGATCCATCTTAGGTGTCCTTTGAGATAAGAAAATGACGAGCTTGATTATTGGTTGTTTGATTTGTAATTTATTCTTTCTAGTTTGTTAAATTATGTTGGAGGGCTCATCAGCCGTGATTCTTTTCTGTTTCTTACGTCTTCATGGGTTGCTTGATTTCGTTGGATGTTTCTGACTAAGTGCATCTATTCTTATAATCTGCAGAATACAAGTTTGATGCCACTTTATCCAAAAATGAACGTGCTTTAGTGCATCAAATATCCCAAAAAATGGGTATGAAATCAAAAAGTTATGGGTGAGTGTTACTGACTGTATTTGTTAGATTTTACATTTCAGGCTGCAATTATTGTAGTCTCTGTTTTATCCCCAATGGTATTTGTGCTATTTTCACGTTCTTACGTTCAATTTGCTCTTCATTTTCTTTTTCATGGATTCTACGTTTTGTACAGGACAGCAAAACAACGTCGTATATCTGTTTTCAAAACTGTAAAAAAGGTTGACACCGTTACAGGGTTAGAGAAGCTTCCTTGTTTTGCATTTTCCGAAGGGGCACAAATGGTATTAGGGAATCTATTTGCCCATCATCCACCTGGTGGTGGAGACTTGCTGGAAGAGATGGTAGGAAGACGTAATGACAAAACTAATAAAGCAAAACAAAATAAAGATGATATTTTCAGCAAGCCTTCCATGAGCAAAGCTGAAATTAGTAAGAAATTGGAAGCATTTTCTTCTAGAATGAAGACAGCCCCCCACTTACAACAGGTTCTATATTTCTCTGCGCACGTTACAGACCTTCTTTATGAATTCCACTGAGTACATGACATATTGTTGTTACTCTTCTTCCTGCACTATGTGCTGGGCTTACTGAATAATAGTCTTGTCAGTGGATGATTTCTTTGAATTCTGATCTTGCAGATCACAACACAGAGGTCTAAACTTCCAATTACAGCATTCAGGGATGTAATCTCATCAACTGTTGAATCTCACCAGGTTATTCGAATGTTTTGACTTGATTTTTTTTTTTTTTTTGAAATCTTGATTGTAGATGCAATATGATTAAGCTCTTGAAATAATTGATTGATATTTTAACGCTTTACATCCGGTTAAATAATATTTTGGTTATTAACAACATAATTATCCAGTCAAATATGAACATTGGATTTCTTCTTTTCTTTGCTCTTATGGGTCTTCTCGTGTGTTTTAAAGCAGGTAGTTCTCATATCTGGTGAGACTGGTTGTGGAAAGACCACACAGGTTATAATTCTTTGCGTTATCTCAATTATGTCACAGCTACATTTAGCATAGAATATGTCACCCTCTTTCAAAGCAATATACTTTTTTTGGTTGCTTATTTATTCTTGTGATTTGTCCATTCAAGATATATATTTTTGTGGTGTGACTGGTGCCCACTTTTTCTTAAAGCAGTTATTTTCTTATTTTCTTTGCACTAGGAAGCGAATTGATGAAACTATTATGCAATATTATTATCTTAAAATGACATGCATGGCCTCTTCAACATCATATTCGTCCAATTGAAGCTTAGTTTTCATCTTATAATTTTGATTTGTTCTTTTCGGGGAAGCTGATTACCATGGTCATTTGACCTATTGGAGGTATAGATCAGGTTACATTTAAGCGATTCAACCAATCTCCTTCAATGTGTCCTGGATTGATTGAGTTGATCTTGATGGGTGCTGTCGTCTGTCTGAACTTAATTTTGGGAATGAAGTGTTTGAAGCTGTTCCTTTTATTTATTTATTTATTTTAATTATAGAATTCTGCATAGAAAGAGACAGGAATAACCAATTGGAACTGAATAAGGATAGACAAATAAGTGCAGAAAGGAAGAAAGTGTATGCTTTGAAAGCTAGAGTTCATAACAAAGAATTTTAGTAAGCCATAATTGCTGTGTATTTAGACAAAGAAAAACAATCAAAAATAAAAATGAAGTGATAAATTAAGTGCTAGAATGTGGTCAAGAGGTTTGGACAGCTTCTTTTGCTAGTTGACAAAAATCATTAGGTATTATTGAATTGTTTGTTCATCTTGGGCAATGGCATGTAATGTGACGGAGATATAATTGACTCCGGGAGAGAATTGAGATGATGAGGCAGCAGTGAGTTGTAAGCTGATGATATAGAGATGGGCTATTTTTCAGACTTACCACTTGAGGACCCTTTGGCCTTTGGGAGTTTTAGGAATCTATGAGGAAGTTGATTCAATAACTTGAGGGAATGAGGCAGACAAAACTCCCTTCATTTTCTCTCTCATGTTATATAATATGTATGTATCTTGTATATTTTGAGCAGTAAGTTTGGTTTGGAAATTTCCCCCCGAACACACAACTGATTGAACTGATTGGTTCATAGTTCATACATAGAAAAAACTGAAGTAAACCAACAATAATATGTTTAGATTGGCTTTTGAGAAGTTTGGTTTAATGAGTCTTGATCAATTTTGAACACCATTCTAGATAGTGATAACTAATAATGTAGGAACTAAATTTGGTCTAAGATGGGGAATAGGAACAAGATTAGGTGGTATAAAGTTGGAGAGAATAGCGTGCATCTTGGACTCTTGGTAAGTACGTATTGATTTATAATCTTGTGCCTTGTACTTTGTGTTGGAAGAATTTTTTTTTTTTTTTGAATTCTGATGGATTCCTATATGTTGCCAATAGTTGTTATATTAACTTCATAGTGGCGCTTTGTGGTTTTAATTGTGAATGTGCTACAAAGTTCTGGATATTTCATGATCTTGGGTTTGACTTTGACTCAGATACTTTATGTACAGGCAAAGATCCCATAAGCTTTGTGCTTTGTGAAACATTATCCTTTTTCCTTGTTATCCTTTTTCTTTGTGATTGTCATGTTTAACTTAATATTAATTGTGATTCAGGTCCCACAATATATTTTGGATCATATGTGGGGCAAGGGTGAGGTATGTAAAGTAGTTTGCACTCAACCTCGACGTATCTCTGCAATTTCAGGTTGGCAACTCATGCACAATAGTGACACACATTTATGTATTGATATGCTTTGATTTACAATATTTATTCACATGTGGATTATTTCCACCTTGTTTTGGTATGCAGTTGCTGAGAGAATTGCCAGTGAAAGAGGTGAGACCATTGGAGAAAATATTGGTTACAAGGTAATTCTTTATTGATGTATGTATTGAGTTCATCTTGTTTTGGATTCAATAATTGCATGGGAATATTGGTTTGAACATGTTTAAAATTGACCAGCACTGCTTCAAGTGAAATGCACGTGCATGCACACACTGACGTGCACATGGTGTATATTCTGTTTAGTTACTAGATTTCCCAGGTTTCCAATGTCATATTAAAGGTTCATAAGTGATTGTTGCACTCTTATAAGTTGGCATTATGTTACAAAATTAACTTTTCATGTGATTTTCAAATAAGAAATTATCAACTTGATTACTTGCTTTATCATGTGATGTCAATTTGATAATTATTTCTAATTTAATGATTGGATTAGTGAATATTACATCCCGTAGTGTGATATCAAGCTTGAACGATGGAAGAGGGTCGGGTCTTGTATTGAGTGTGCACATTGCATGATAACATAATAGTAATATTCTATCGAAAAGACAACTGTCTGTCTTTAGCAATCTGAAAACGTGTGATTTCCGCCAGTGAATCGCTGATTTATTCTCCAAAAGCAGATTTTCTGATCTCATGTCTCATTTTTTTTGAGGTCATATGTTCTTTGTGTGAGGGATTGTAAAAGAACAGTTTTGTTTGCTTCTCACTAGAAATTGTGTCCATAGCATTTAATTACTTCAACTATGCTTTCTGAAATTGAAATCTAGATACGGTTAGAAAGCAGAGGTGGAAAGCATTCATCAGTCATGCTATGTACAACTGGAATTTTGTTGAGGGTCTTGTGCTCGTTTTCTAAATGTTTGAGTAGATCAAAGACAGGAACCATGAGGAATGACAAATTCGAGATCACTCACATAATTATGGTACTTCTCTTGCTTTAATTTACTTATTTTTTGGCAGCTAGAAGTAGAATTCATGTTTATGGTTCTCAATCTTGCTTGTGCTTTTTCCTTGCCACTCAGCCACTTTATTAGGTTGGCACTGCAAACGAGAGTTTATTTAGTAGAACTTCGTTACAACTAATTAATTGAAAAGTCAAATACGGATAAATATATCTGCTTGAACTTGGATAATATTTCTGTTATGTAAGAATTGCACCCAAGGGGTTTGAAACTGCATTCTGACGTTAGTTAATTGGGGATTCAAATCTAGTTTCAAGTATACCTTCCACAAGACCTAGTTTCAAGGGGGGGAAGTATTCTTAGTGACCAAGGCTGAAGACTCTGAAGGTGATTGATTGATGAGTAGGAACTCCATGGATGAGTTTCTCTTGGTTTTCTTCATAAACAACTAAAGGAAATGCCTCAACAAAGAGAAGGCAGTGAATTCTTTGTGATGACATGCCCTCTGACCTCATCCAAGGTCAACTTGGGGACTAGAGAAAATCATAAGTCCTTTCTTTCTATACACCCTTCTTTTACATGGCAACAAAAGCAGTGTCGTACACTGGTACTTCAAGTTATCATGTCGATTGGAAGTAGGGTGACAAATTTTTCACCCTAGAGTAGGACTTCCTTTGATAGAGTATAATGGCGTCGTACACTTCATGTAGCCGACCCCACTTAATGGGATAAGGCTTGTTATTGTTGTAGTGTAGGAGTTCCTCAGGTTTTCTTGGCTGTTGTGGAAAGTATGAAGGTTTCACCATTCTCCAGTATCATTGGATTCAGCACGACATTATCATATTGTTCTCAGTCACCCGCATCTTGTACATAGACCAGAGGTTGTTGGATGAACGACTTAACTAGTGAGTCACCCACATCTTGTATATTGGCCAGTGGTGGTACAACTGCTTTTTTAAAGTGAGTAGAATTACGATTCAAAGAGCAAAAGGTAGAACTTTTGTGAAAAATTTGAGAAAATGGATGCTGTATTAATAATTATGCTTGAAGAGTATGGTAAAAAAGTAACTTAAATTTTTTTAATGTATTATTTTATTTATAAATTCTGATGATCAATACAAGGTGTAATTGTCTTTAAACGTTTATTCAAGACTTTAAAATATTGAAGGATGTTAAAAAAAAAAAAATGGTGGAGTGCAAAGTTAGAACTTAAGAGTGGCCGGGGTTAGCATTTCCTTAAAAAATATTATTTCCATTACATATATGATACATGTGAAAAAGTTTCCTTGGGAGGGGCGACCACACTGCCAAACTATGTCTCTATTATATCCACATGGCCATGTAATCCATTCCCACATGGGCAAACTGTTTAGTCCTCTGCCCCAAAAACTGCATGCTCTAACAACTAAAATTCGTTAAGGAGATACCTAAATGCTGACATCGATTATAGAGTTGAGTTTAGTCATTAAACCTTTGTTTCAGGACATCATATTAGAAGCAGAGCTCAGTCGTTAATTTTTTTTTTCAGGGTATTTATGCTTTTCTTGTGTATTCTTGGTAAATCTGCATTTAGACATAGATGTAGAAGGATCTTAAGCAATCGGCATGCAGAAGGATATTAATACAAGTGTGATCTTTCTCACTTGACAACTTTGCTCCATAAAGTGTACTTGAATGTCTCGTTATATGTTCTTTTTGAGCATTATGATCCAATATGAGTAATGTGAATAACTGTTGTTTCCTTGCCTTAGTGAGCACAAGTTGCAAAATCTGATGAATTTCATTGTTTGTTCAGGATGAAGTTCATGAAAGGGACCGGTTCTCAGACTTCATGATGGCAGTTGTTAGGTACAACATGATGTAACATCTGAACTCGAGTGTTGTTTGATACAGATGTATATTTTGTTTGAAGCATGTAACTGATAGTAAAGTTGACTTGTAGATCATAAGTTGCAGCACTTGTTTAAAATTGATATTGAATGTTTACTTTTTTGAAAAAAAATTAAATAAATGCTGTGATGGGTTTTATTCCCCCTCCTCTAACTTGGTTACTTATTATTGCTGTTACTCCTCTTTTTCTGCAAGATGATTCCTTCCTTTCCATGCTTCTCTCTTAGCTTCCCACCATATATTTTCTCTTCTAAAATATTTTTTTATACAAAAAGTTGAGATATTATTAATCCTCAAACAATGTGATCTAATCTCAATTCCCCTTATCAAGAATGATTTTTGAAAGGTGATATCTTGAGATGACCATCTGTGAAGCGTTACGTTTGATCCCAAGATGCATGTTCATTGGCTAAATGAATGTCATTTACGAAGTTTTTCTTACATGATATTCGGATTAATAAATTTGCTCCAATGTAACTTACATGCAGAGACATGCTCCCTTCATACCCACACCTTCGCCTGGTTAGTTTGATGATCTTATATTTATATTTATTTCCTTATTTCACTGTCATTCGGTCTAGTGATGCTTTAATTTATTGGATATTGTTACCCCTAATTTTTTTTTTAATTCTATTTGCTTCCCTCAATTTTCAGGTACTAATGAGTGCTACCATCGATGCTGAAAGATTTTCCCAATATTTTGGTGGCTGCCCTGTTATCCTTGTTCCAGGGTTTACTCATCCGGTACCTATATAGTTCTGGATTGTAAGTTGACTTGCATTATGCAAATCACATATTATAAATTTCCCTTGCTCTTTCTTCAGGTCAGAACTTTCTATCTGGAGGATGTGCTTTCAATTGTAAAATACAATGAAGAAAATCATCTTGATAATGCTACATCAAATAATTTGACAGACAACCATGAGTTAAGTGAGGAAGATAAAGTTTCACTTGATGAAGCTATTCATTTGGCTTGGTCTAATGATGACTGTGATCCACTTTTGGAGCTGATTACTTCTAAAGGATCCCCAAAGATCTTTAATTACCAGCATTCATTGACTGGCCTTACGCCATTAATGGTGTTTGCTGGAAAAGGAAGGGTGGGTGATATGTGTATGCTGTTATCCTTTGGGGCAGACTGCCACTTAAGATCCAAAGCTGGAATGGGAGCTCTGGAGATTGCTGAGCAGGAAAATAATCAAGAAATAGCTGAAATTTTGAAGAAACACATAGATTCTGCATCTTCAAACTCCACGGAAGGGCAGAAGCTACTTGATAAGTATCTTACAACAGTCAACCCTGAACTTGTTGATGTTGTTCTGATCGAGCAGCTGATACGAAAAATATGTGTGGACTCAAAGGATGGAGGAATCCTTGTTTTCCTTCCAGGTTGGGACGAAATAAATAGAACTCGTGAAAAATTGCTCCAATCCCCATTTTTCAATAATTCAAAGTTTACCATTATACCTCTGCATTCAATGGTTCCATCAAAGGAGCAAAAGAAGGTTTTTTTGCGCCCACCGCTTGGTTGCCGCAAAATTGTTCTTTCAACCAATATTGCTGAGACCGCCATAACCATTGATGATATTGTCTATGTCATAGACACTGGGCGGATGAAAGAAAAAAGTTATGATCCTTATAATAATGTCCAAACTCTTCAATCATCTTGGGTTTCAAAGGCAAGTGCTAAGCAACGAGAGGGACGTGCTGGCCGCTGTCAGCCTGGAATTTGCTATCATTTGTATTCAAAGTATCGAGCAGCTTCCTTGCCTGATTTTCAGGTTCCTGAATTAAGAAGAATGCCTATTGAAGAGCTTTGTCTGCAGGTATTACTTTACTTTCTCTAGTGATGGAAATTCAAAAATAGTGAGAATATTCCCAAAATATGGTAATCATTACAAATGTAAGAATGACTTTAAATTCAGCATATTTTTATATAATGTTGAATTGGCTGGCTCGACAAATTTTCCTGTTTTAAAATTGTACCTAACTATCTAGTAATGCAGCTTGGAGTGATTATGAACAGTAACGCTCTAACCTGCTGTTGATTATTGGTTATTGAAAAGGAAACAAATTAATTTGTATAGGGAAAAAGGAAAAACAAACTTGGTAGGGGCTAAATCATTTTTGGATTTATTTTTTGCTTTTCTTGGGGGTTATAAGGCTTCTTGTTATTGTCATCGTCATTTTCTTCATGTCATGAGAAAAACATTGCAGTAAATAAATTGATGTTATACAACTAGACTTGTTTTCTTGTGTTGCTATTGTTTACTGCTTTTTGTCCTCTCAGGTGAAGATGCTTGATCCAACCTGTAAGGTAGAAGAATATTTGTCAAAGACACTAGATCCTCCAGTTTTTGAGTCCATACGAAATGCCATCATAGCTCTTCAAGATATTGGGGCATTATCTATTGATGAAAAGCTCACGGAGTTAGGAGAGAAGCTTGGTTCTCTTCCTGTTCACCCCTTAACGAGCAAGTTAATTTTCGTCGCTATATTGATGAACTGCCTTGATCCAGCATTAACTCTAGCATGTGCTTCTGATTATAGAAATCCATTCATAATTCCCATGTCAACTGGGGATAAGAGGAAAGCTGCCGCTGCCAGATCTGAGCTTGCTTCTTTGTATGGGGGGTGTGGTGATCAACTTGCTTTAATAGCTGCATTTGAATGTTGGCATAATGCAAGGACAATGGGTAATGAGTCGTGGTTTTATTCTCAATACTATGTGTCCCCAAACGTAATGTACATGTTACATGGCATGCGCAAACAACTTCAAACTGAATTGATTCGAAGTGGGCTTATTCAAGAAGATGTTTCAAGATACAACGTTAATTCACACAACCCTGGTATAATCCATGCAGTATTAGTTGCGGGTCTGTATCCGATGGTTGGAAAATTGATAGCACCCAAAGGTGCAAAAAAAGTTGTTGTGGAGACTGCAAATGGTTATAAAGTTCGGTTAAATCAACACTCTATAAATTATAAGTTGCAATCAAAGGTAACTGTTAGCCGTCCCTTAGCTGTGTTGGATGAGATTACTCGAGGTGATGGTGGTGGTATGTGCACAAGAAACTGTACGCTTGTTGGACCACTTCCTCTCTTACTGCTTTCAGCCGAGATTGCTGTTGCTCCAGTAGAGGATAATATTGACGATCCCAATGATGAGGAGGATGACGAAGGCAGTGAATCTGATGGTGTTAGTGATGATGACATTGATCTTGATAACAAGGTCAGTGAACATTGTGAAAATAAGTCCTCTGAACCTGGTGCAGATAAGGTGATGTCTTCTCCTGATAATTCAGTTAGAGTCATCATGGATCGATGGCTTTATTTTGAATCAAGGGCACTCGATGTTGCGCAGTTATATTGCTTAAGAGAGCGTTTGTCAGCAGCAATATTGCACAAAGTAAGTTTTCCCATTACTACTTTAATTTGAAAGTTATGCCTTAGGCAATTTCATGGCCCGAACCTCAATTAGACCAGGTAGTTTCAGACTGAAAAAAATCATGCTGAGATCATCATTAAGATTTTAATTCTCAAGGAAAAAATATATAATTTTATTATGATTTATACAAAAATATTACATTTTTAGGAATTATTTTATAGTTTTTTACATAGAAGAGCCTGTTGGGTGGCTTCAATTTTGAATCCTTGACCTGGTCTTTAGACCTGTCTGGCCCATGAACACCTTTGGTCATGCCTTCCAATTAACACTTGGTTGATGGTTCTATTGCTCTGCATGACGCATTGATTTAATATTTGTAGGTATCATATCCAAGGGAACCCCTTCCTCCCACCTTAGAAGCATCTATAAATGCTCTGGTGGGCATTCTGTCTAGTGATGGTCTCTTGGGCATGCCTGATCAGTTATCATGCATTGTTGACACACCGGCAAGTCAGGAGGCTCTACTGAGTTCAGCTAAAACTCAATCAAACCTAAAGAAGTCTCTTCCTCTTTCGCCATGTCGTCCTTCAAATGTGAATGTAGAGAATCATGCACCAAATAACCAACATGTAAACTCTCGTAAGTGAGGATGGAGGTGGGGATCTTTTTGGGATGGTGGTTTGATTACAGGAATATCTGCAGGACATTGAACTGTTGCTAGCTAGTGTCTACATGAACTTCTGTTCAGAAAATGCAATACAGATCCAATCATACGTGAAAAGTTTCAATGACAGTGCCCCACAAAATTTCCACACTGATCCCCTCGTTTACTGGAGTGTCTTAGAATTTTTTCCCCCCAAATGTTCTCGCCGATCACGTGGATGCTAGAAACAAATCGCTAGTAAGGCGAATTCTAAGGTATCAAAACCCGCGATTGTGAATTTTTATGATTCAGCGTGAAGCACTAGATATATAGGCTGTCCTGTGTGTCTAAACCTTGAATTTTGATTTTACAGAAGCATAAAATAAACTAGAAACATGTCAGTTTATCAACATGCAAGTGTCGAAAGCCATATCAGTGACTCCAAGAAGGCTGGCTGATTAGAATGACGAATGACACCATTTTTATTTGTTTGATCCATCGGTCACCTCCTTTTAGCATAGGGAGAATGGCAGTTAGGTTTTAAGATACTGAATTAATGATGATTAGATCTTTGATATGCATTTTTGAAAATTGAGTTGAAAATATTAATTTAGATTATTATAAATTTAGGAGTTTTAATTATAAATAAATATTCAAGTATCAAATTTATCTCTTGAATTGTAATAGAAATTTTTATTTATAGTTGTATAAATTGATATTTATAATTTATTTTGTAAAAAAAATTTGTCGAGAACCTAACTATAATTAGTTCATTCTTTTGGGATCTAATTATCATTAACCTTTCAGCGTAGGAAGAGTTGTTGCTGTAAAAATCTCAAGTTAACTCTACAAATGTATCATTTTTATGTTTTTAGCTTATAAAATTATGTTAACTTATTCATAAATTCAAACTAAAAAAATTTACTTAAATTCACAAGTTGACTTTCCAAGTTTATTTTTATTTTTATTTACATTTCTAGCTTATAAAGTGGTGTCTATTTGCTCATAAACTCATTGAGCAAGAAAATTATATTCTATTTAGAACTTGATTTAAAGAAACAGTAGAATCTAATTTAATTGAAAATAAAACTAAAAAAACAAAAACTAATATTAATAAAAAGGAAAACAAAAAATACCAAAAATAAGTTGCCTTATTTTAAAATTTCTATGTTAAGTATAATAATCTATGAATGTGGATAGATTTGTTTTCAATAATTTATATTTAAAATATATTTAAATTAAATTATGATCATATTTTATATTTTAATTATTTAAGTATATATTTTTAAAGGCTATTTATTAATAGAAGCAAATTCTTACGAGTACAATGAGTCTCCGTTTCTAGTCTCTATTCCCATCATGAGTTTACTTAATTTGAAAAGAATGGCAGTTAGATCTTAAAATACTAAATTAACAACAATTAAGTTCCCAAAAAACTTATTTAAAAAATGAGTAGAAAATATTAATCCGATTATTACAAATCTAGGACTTTTAATTATAAATAAGTATTTAAATATCAAATGTAACTCTTAGATTGTAATAGAAATTTTGTTTGTAACTGTTTAAATTGATATTTATAATTTATTTTGTAAAAAATTTTTAACTTTGACTCTGGCACACATGATGATGGAATATGAGATAATGGCTAACTAGAATAATTATAATTTATTTAAGATATTAAAATTATCTATTACGGATATTCAAATAAGGATATTTATACATTAAAATTAAAATTTATTATTTTATTTTATCGTTATCTTAAATATCAACATATTTAAAATTTGAATTAGATTTATGATTTAGATTTGAATTTAAATTATTATTATTTTATTATTTTTAGATCTCTATAAATAGAGTTAAATTTTTTATTTGTATTATTCAATAAAAAATTTTGAGAATTTCAACATTCCCTCCCTCCCTCCGTCTTGTTTTACATCACTTGGTCTCATTATTTTTTTAATTAGAATTTAGCCACTACATTCTTAATTATTCTATAACTCATGCATTGAACTTTGAACGCTAAACATTGAATTAAATTTAATATCACAGAAAGATGACAAAAATATCAAAGATTATTATTATTTAACCCCATCATATTTTCATGAGTTATCTAGGTAGAATAGTGATCTTGCATTTTCAATCAAGTTCATGAACTATGGAAGGAGAGTCTGCAAGCGGCAGTTCTCATCCTTGAATGTTAAGTGTTGGAAATGATCCATTTAGCTTGGAGTGATAAGCATATATACGCGTTAATACTAACTTAAAAGCCATTGATTCTGATTTTGAATATTATGATAAGGGGGTTGGCAATCACTCTAATAGCAAGAGCAATGTCCAAAGCTCACCAAGGTTAAAGATGAGAAAAAGTGGGTCCGAATAGGAACACTAAACAAAATTGGGTGGAGGTATGCATGAGAATAAGGCAGTGAATCAACAAACTAAATCCCAGTCATTATCTTCCGGGTCGAAATTAATAACTTCCAACAGTCCAAAAAATTTGAACTTGGATATTCATTATGGCACTCAATGCATGCTCTGCTAAAGCTATATTTAAAATTAACATTAAAAAAGGTAGAACTGACATTTATACAATGGCTTAGATTCACAGGGGATCCAAACACCATATGTGGTTTGTGCTCCATCTTTCAGTGCACGTGTCATTTAAACAGGGAGAAGATGATGCACAGAGGCAGAGGTAAGCTGGGTTATCAACAGAGGTAAACTATACTTGGCTTTCAAAAAATTTCACCAATAATCTTCTGAATTTTACTGCCTCTTCGCCAATGTCTTTCTTAATCCTTTGATGATCTTCGAAAACCAAGCCAAGTTCATGATCGCGAGCACTACCGGCACAATTAGTACTAGTAATTGCCCAATGGCGTGCATTCTCCTAACCTGTCGGTTAATTAAACAATGATATGTAAGCATATCTAATAATCATATCATCTATATTATTGCATTTAGAGAGAAAGGAATACACAATAAATAAAATAAAACTAGTGGTTTCACATTCCGTAGTTACACCTATGATTTTTCTCTTATCCCCTTAAATGCACTATCGATATTCTTGTGAATGTAGAAAAACCAGGTTGAAGCATATCATGATGGACTTTACCGAATCGAATTATCTTTCATAAATTGAGTTTACTGAAAAATTTCTGTGGTACGGTTACAGGCATGCTATGAGTATATAGTCAGCATCTGTCCAGAGTGAGACTGATCACTATCTAACATAAGTTTACCTATTCATTTTGTTCCATTTTGGTCTGCCTTGTGATATAATTTTCGTTATCCAGTTTTTGACTCATGAAATCGCTAGGACAACTTTTGAGCATTCGGGAAACAATGTGCCACTAAAAATTTCAGCCAAAAAATTGAAACTCGAGACCTGATTGCTATATAACACATCACACTTCCCACATAATGTTTGAAATTCGAAGTTATGTACCTGACCAAAGTGCAAGTACACATGGTAGAACATGTAAATGAACAAAAGTATTCTGGCAACCTGCAGATAGAACATCTCAGTAAGCATGTCCAAGACAAAGAGTTGTTTATGTTCTAAATAATACTTTTGAACAAAGTCTCACATATCAATAAATCTTATTAAATACACTTAACAATCTTACCTTTTCAAAATAAAAATATAAACTTCCATAAATACCATTCATTTAATAAAAGGTTAAAGGAGCAACATGCCCCTAAATTATAGGCCTAGAAACTTATAGGACCCTACACTCATCTTTTGCACATTATAACTCTTCAACTTTTGAAAACAGTGCAATATGATCTCTACCATTAACAAAAATTAACTTTAATTGTTAGTTCACCAGAAAATGACAGAAAAAGACTTTAAAAATTACAAAAAAGGATTAAGAAAATTTTCTCAGTCCTTTTTGGTAATTTTTTGGGTTTTTGTCTGTAATTTTTGGGTTTTTAACTGTAATTTGTGTCATTTTTTATAATTTTTGAGATCTTTTTTCATCATTTTTTGGTTAACCAATGGTCAAAATTAACTTTTGTTAACAACAAGAGTCAAATTGTACTGTTTTCAAAAGTTGAAAGAGAATATTGCAAAAAATGAGTTTAGGGTCCTAAACGTTTTTGGACCTATAATTTAAGGCTAATTTGCTCATTTAACCTTTAATGTATTGAAAAGATAGAATGATGGAAATTAAATAGAGAGAAAGAAAATGTAGTATTGGAATAAGCTTATTTAATGAAATCTTAAAATTCTCACAGCTTCTTATATTTTGGAATAGTGGATCTTCCTCAAAAGTGGGGGAGTATAAGATTTGAGATTTGAGAACAGGACCAGAGTCGCACAAATATATTCCAAAATGCAATGAATTAACCCACCAGCCATGCGAAGAATATTACAACCCCATTTACAAGATAAGCTCTGGATCTCTTCATTCCCGCTGCATCAAGATACCTGAAAAAATGCAACATGTGAATTAGCAAAGACAGTCATTTATAACTTTAATTAAGCTAAAATATTAGATCAAGATTACCATCTTAAATTTATCCCTGGAGTTGTTGTCTCAGACACAAGGACCATGTAAGTGTAAAGCTGTCCCTCTCCACTCAACATTGCATATGCTACTGCTACCAAGGAAAGGAGATGATGAATCACCTGAACCAAAGTTGATATGAAGACAGTGTTAAATCCTAACCACAACCAAAAGAAAACATTGGGGTGAAGGAACGAAAGTCTGATCAATAATCATCTCCGGATGGGTTCATATCAATTGCAATGAATTAAGTCGTATATTCTGAAATTAGTAAGAAGGCATAGCCTTATATAAAGTTAGAAGATATTATCCTTACATACTCATATCCACCAAGAGAAGGATAAAACCAAAATATCATCCCGAGGTCAACAATGAAGTATCCAACAGAAATCTGCAGCAAGTCAAAGCATAAAAAGGCTTTTAGAGCAGATGGGGAGAAAAAAAAAAAAAAAAGGGCCAGAGCCCACGCAATATAGACAATAAACGTAGAGAGAAGATATAAAGTAGATTGTCAGCGTGAACATAAACAAAGTAGCCAAAATCCTTAGGCAAAAATTTACAGCTAAAAGACAAGCTGAACAAGAAGCAGTCAATGATTCACACTTGAAAAAAGTCCCCATCCAGACAATCAATAAAAAAGGTTAGCTAAATGTTGTGTATAATCAATGATTTCCGCAGGTGGTAAAATTAAGTCTAGAGCAGTTATATATCCCAGGACCCTTGACATAGATAGATGCATTTAGAGTTATAGATGTATTACTTCCAAATACATTTTGTTTTAAAATTCATTAAGAAATTCATGCACTGATTCTTCAATACTCAATATGATAGAATATTCATGGGGTATTTTCTATTTACAAATCTTTTCAACCTTGGTTCCATAGAAGCAAGTCATAAAGATGAAGACAAATTCATTCTTCACAAGCACTAATAAAGGATTCCTCAAGACGTTACATCACTCATTCAATCTCTGCTGATCAAGTGAAATCAAGAGGAAAGCCATTTTAAAGATAAAGGCGCACAAGCCAGGAAGAGAAGCTGATTTTAAGAAAAGATCAGACTGATTGGGCAGCGAAGAGGGAATAACTTCCCCTTTTTAGGTACATAATTGCCTATAATCTAATCATAATCTCTACTTCACTTTTTTCACCCTCTAATCCGGCAGAAGCCCTGGCTCGTATGATTAATATAGACAGCAACAATTGACACAAAAAATGTATGTCCCATATCAGCTTTACATGAGACACAGAACTCCTGTAGTAAGTAAAAATCTGCCATCTCATTGAACATGCTTTTAGAAGCGGGTTCTCCTCTACATCAAAAAGGAAAAGCTCTCGTAATCCCAATCAATCATTACATAGCATTCTAGTATATCTCAGCCATCCAAAGCAAACGGAATAGCATTTGATATATCAAATATAAATTAAACTATAACCTACGCATCAAAGACAGGATATCACAAAAGAATGCAGAAGACATAACATTAAACTAAAGACTGTGAAGTAGCAAAACAAGGGGCTGGTTTCAAGAGCTAAAGACAGATGCTAGGATTAAGACTTGAAATTTCTTCTTAGATGGCCCTGCACCAAGGACTTCACTATTTCATATTGAATTATGAGAATCTACAAGATGCTTTCACCAAATTTATTTTGATTGTCCATGGCCATAGAGAATGATAAAGGCAGTTAGAACACATTATTACTACCAGAAATCTATAAATTGTTTTTCTTAACAAGTATACATGTTTCTGAATTAAGACGGGAAACTTCTCTGGAAAATCCATTGGTCCAACATCTAAGTAACAGGGACATCATTATATTATAGTGTCTTAGTTATGATTCCATGAATTGGCATAGCTCTACAAGCTTGTTTCATTTTCATCTTGTTATGCAAGTATTTTCACGGTTATTGCGTCACCTCACAGTAGTGGTACTACACCCGATGTTTTGAGTCATTCATCATTTCACAATATTGCTTAACTTTCAATAACCAAAGATCAATGGTAGTCAGTATGAAGCAAACTATCAAAAACCTGCATAGCATAGACTAATATTAAAGAATAAACTCCACTAACTCATTAATGTGAAGGTAGTTTTTTTGAAAAATAAATTATAAGACAAAAGATACAAGGAGGACAGGAAATCCTCATAATGCATGTATTAAATTTACTTCATCTGCATATTACTTTTGTGTTTAATACAATACACTTGACTCTAAGATATTATTAAATTTAAAAGTGCTCGTCTTGATTAAATACATTACTTTAAGACACATCTTTTCAAGTTATATCTTATTAACTATGTTCTTTTAATTGATTATATTTTTACAAAATCTAATTTTTCAAATACGCATCTTTTTTTTTTAATGATTAATTATTTTGTATCAAATAATTTTAAATTTTACTAAATGATTATTTTATAAACTGCAAAGACTTTTTTTCAAAATGGATTTAGCTGTAGCATACTTTTTCTTTCAAGGGAGGGAAACGTAGATTTTCATATCACAGAAGAGGTTCATGTAACGGAGAGTAATTTACCCAGAAGAAGAACAAATTAGAAAATTGAACATGCAGCAAAGCTTCCTAGTCCCTCAGTCCCTCAGCATATTTAAGAGACTGCTGAGCCGAACACCAAATCATATATATATATATATATATATATCAATATAGTGAATAATGTGACTTGTCAGTTAATCACAAAGACTGAAAAGACGGTCAAATGTAAAGTCTTACAAGATCTTTCTAGGTAAACATTATACCATCACAATAAACTAACTTCACTGTTCTACTTCCTTACTCAATCAAGATTCCATGCGCTAATTTTGCACCACAAAATTTTATTGGCAAGATCAAAATACCCCACCACAAAGGACTAATACTTGACATTCCATACAGACATCACATGAAAGTGAACTAACACACAAGTAAGCAATGGAGCAAGATTCATCAATAGACCATTAAGGACTCTATCCTTCTAACCATGTAAACCCTCTATGACACCATAACTCAAAAGCTGTGTGATTTCAATTGAGGAATTGCTCAAGTCATGTATGGTGCAATAGAAAAAGAATATAACACCCTTGGATCTACTTCAGATAACAATTGTACTAAAGGGAGGAAAATCCAACAGGAACTTAAAAGGGATAAGAAAAGAAGGAAACAAAGAACCAGAGCATTCTTACCCCCAGCCCAAATGTAGACAATGGAGAGGTTCGAACAGTAAGATCAGCAGATCGGTTTTCAGAATATAGATTTGAGCAAAACACAAAGTACAAAGACATGGTTGTAATAAAAATGGCATGAACAGTTGATATAGCACTGCAAAAAGAATAGAGGAATTCGTTAATATCTCACATCAAGAGAAACAGAATGAGAGAGTTTTGACAAAATAGAAAATCCAGTCACCGGTTATTCCACTCAATACGTTGGATTTTTGAGAGGCCAGAATAGCTCTTAAAGTAGACTGTACTGATCAGCTGTGTAAGATCATAGACCTGAAAGACAACAACCAAGAGATAAACATAAGATCAAAGAATAAATACGCATACTATAAGATCATTGAGATTAGAATAACTTTGCAATGTCATAAGGGGCACATTAGAACGGCAACATAACATAATAAAATATAACATACCATCTTGCAAGAGAAAATGCCACCAACAATTGAAGTATATGGAATCAGAGGGTCAGCTAGTAAATATTCCTTCACAAAAAATTCAGCCTGATTTTGATATGATTTAAATGCCATCATTTCTTTAGAATTCAGCATTGCGCCTCCAACCTTGGTTGAGAAGTCTTCTGAAGATTGTATGCACTCACGTTTTCTTGAGTCACCTATAACGAGATTTAATAGAAGCTTCAGGAGAAGATCCAAAAAGCCTGCAGCTATAGATAAATACCATGATTTGGCTTGACTTTGGATATTATCCAGCTTAGACACGATGATTCATCACTAAGTTATGTGCCGTATGTTGGGGGCAATACATGAAACAACAGCATAAACCATAGGCTTGATGAATTCAAAATTTCAACGGAGGTATAAGTTATTTTCTGAAAATGCAAATATCAAGTAGCAGCAGTATGGCAAAACTAAAGTAACACATAATGTAAACATTAGAAGCAAAGGAAAAAGATTAAAATCAACTGGCAACGACATATCAACCTGAAAATGTAGGGTAAAAGAAATTATAATATGTTCCTTCAGAAATGAGACATAGATAATATACGATTGCAATTGAGTCGACGCAAATTAGTAACCAAAATCCTACCATATTACTTTTTTCGATATCAGTATAGCTGATGAAAAAGGAACCTTGAAAAGGAAAACATTGCAAGACCCTCGGAGGCAAAATAACAAAGCAATAAAATTGAAGTACATAGACCTCTCAATAAATCACTTTTGAGTCCATGCAAGATTGTCAAAGCAAAAGATATTGTAATGTCCCCAGCAGAATAATTGGGGTACACTGCGCAGGCATTTCAGGAAGAACCTAAGGTATTGTTTCCTCCAAATAACAATATTTAGTCAGTTTCCGGAGCAAGCCACTGTAAAAGGAGGACCCTCAGCAATATAATTCCTCACCAGAAAGTTTTATAGAAGATAGAAACGGCGAAAAAGGGATTTAAAACCGCAAATCCGTAAACAAAAAACCGTTGCTAAACATGAAAGAAGCATGACTGAAACAGAAGGAGAGTTATGTTGCCTTCGGGAATCAAAAACAGAAAAATAGAATTCGCTTTGGGCATCCTATCATAATGGATGATTATACTATAATCGCAGAAAGCAAAAAGGTTCTTTCTCATTTCATTTGAGAGAGAAAGAGTGTGTTACCCGAATTGGAAAAAAGTCTCCGGTAGTTGCTGGAAAGATAATCGTTTGGTGGGGAGAGAGAGACAAACGGCAAGGAGCTTCGTGCTTACGGGGCGACAACGCTAGAAGGCAAAGGGGGGGGTGTGAGCGTGTGAGAGAGAGAGAGAGAGAGAGAGAGACGTTGGGCTGAAGAAATCAAGCAGATCGATGGTGCTTCGCTGTCACGTGAATGTGGAAAGAGATAGGCCCAACATCAATTATCAATCGCATCAATATATATATATATATATATATATATTTTTACACACCAATTGAAATGGATCTAACTAAACCGATTAAATGTGTATTTAGATTAAAAAATTTATAATTGAGGTTAGAATTTAATTGAGATTAGTAAACTGAAATTAGAAGAAAAGTCAGTGAATATAACATAATTTTATTTGGATACCTATTTTTTAAAAGTCAGTTGGATGAATTGAATTTTGTTTGAATGATTTAATTTAAAAGTCAATTAAGATATATAATAATGAAAATAGAGATGAGTTTATATATATATATATATATATAACTTGTGACTAAGTTAATATTTTTAAAAATATTAAACTTAAAATTATAATTTTTAAAAAATAGATTAAAAATATAAAATAGAATGATAAATAAAAAATATTAATTTTAGAAAAGGTAGAATGAAATGATAACTTTACAAAATATTTAAATATAAAAATTTATAAATTTATAACTTATAAAATATTCAATCTAAAAGGATTAAATATTATAAATTATAAAGTATTTTTTTCCGGTTGCCTTCATGTACCATGCCTCATCAGAACGGCCAAAAGTTGTCATCCTTACAGGGTGTGAATGTGACGTCAACATTGTCGTCCCAAATCCGCTGGCTTAGGACCATGTCGAATGTTTTCTCATATGGAAGTCTCCTTACCGTGACGTTGCTTGATGATCTTTCATGAGTACTGCCAAAATTGTTGCTTAAAGTGACGATGTAGGGGAGCCTTAAGCCTATGTAGGTCATGATGACGTCATAATCTACGGTGGAAGATTTGGTGGCGGCAACGATGCGTTAGTATGTGAAGGAAGGTTGCTAAAAGTGCAGCAGTATGAGCTTGGTATAAAGTGATAAATATGGTACGCGAGTAGAAGCAAGAAGAAAGAAGGGACGACAGCCTGCAAATTCAAACACTGTACACAAGCAACACAGCCGACGAAAGATCATAAGGCTATAATGATGGCGAACACAATTTTCATTTAGAGCTAACTCGTGAAGATTCATGAAGGCTAAGGCAGAGCAAAGTTGGTCACTGATGAAGATTGTAGAGAGAGAAGATTGATAAAACATTAAAATACTCCCAATGTTCGCCAACACTCAGTGGAAAGCTCTGTCTAGTAGCTTTGTTGAGAATGCCCGTTTCTCTTCCAACATCCATTCACTTTTTTTTTAATCCAAGCAAAATTTTGATAGCTTTTATCATCTCAACTTAAGTTGGAGCCATCTCAACCTAAGTTACAATGTTATCCAAACACACTCTAATTCTTACAAACTAGCGTTCAAATCTTGCTAAAAAAATGTATGCACTTAGTTTATGATTAATAAAAAAATTAATATTCATATAAATTTGATCTTGAGATTTCGTATCTAAAAAATCATGATTCCTTTGATTATAACCTCTTGGTAGATCAATTAAAGAAGATTGATTCCTTGCATTTATATAATCCATTATCCCCAATCACAGTCTCAATCAAAATTGTTAAACTTGTAACATTAAATAAACTCATAATAGGAATATAAAATCGCAAATTTGAATAGTAAACTCATAAGAGTTTACTTTTATTAATAAATAATTATCAAAATTTATTATTAAATAATTAAAATATAAATCATTAAATTTAAATACATATACATTGATAAATTATCATACAAAATATAAAAATTTTAAAATGAGGAATTTATTTTTGGTATTTTTTATTTTCTTTTTCTATTAATATTAGTTTTTGCTTTTTGAGTTTTTTTCCCTCTGAACCAGGTTCTATAAATTTTATGAACCAAATTTTTCATAATATATACTTAACTCACTTAATTTGAAAAAAAATCAACAAGTTTAATAAGCTTGCATTTAGTCCAAATTTATAAATTAATTGACACGATTTTGTAAGCTAAAAATATAAAAATGATAAACTCATGAGTTTAACTGAGTTTGTATCTAGTCTGAGTTTATGAGTGAGTTGACATGATTGCATTGTAAGTTAAAAATATAAAAACGTTAAACATGTAAAACCAACTTGAGAGTTTGAAAATTATGATCTCAACTAATGTTTTATTGTACCGCTATTTTCTATTTCATACCACTTATAAATATAATTAGTATCTTTTTGTATATACAGAAATCTGTCACATGGAACCTTTAACAAGTCATTAGAAATTCTTACATGAATTTGATATACCATGTCATTTGCAGACTACCTAATAAAATCGCTCCATTTCAATCAAATAAAATATCATATGTCATTATTTCTAATAATTTTATTTTTAGAATAGGGTGTATATTTAATTTCTTATTTTTTCTCTTTAACATCATCAATGCAAAATCAATTTATTTAAAGCCATATGACATAACATATTTTTATTGGATAGTCTACAAATAATGTGATACAGCAGGTCCATACAAAAATTTCTCAATAAGTCCATGTGATTTTCACCTAATTGCAAAATTAAGGGATATCAATTCTTGGCTTTTAAGAAGAACTTTCTAAAAATCAAAAGTTATTTGGGTATCAAATTTATATCTAAATCACATCCTAAAAGTACATTTAGAAAGTTGTTAAAAGTGTATTTGTAGAAGGTTTAAGCTTTGGGGAGCAAATAATTCTATCTAGTCTCTTGGAAGGAGGTGACAAAACATAAATTGAGGGTGGCTTGAGATTAAAGACCTTCAAAGACAAAACAAAGCCTTTATTATGAAATTATTTTAAAACTTGATCTACAAAAGGGAGGCTTTTTGGATCCAAGTCTTAAGATCCATATAAAGTAATTTTGAAAAAATGCCAATGATATCTACAAGAGCCAATGCCTCTCTAACTTGGAGAAGCATTGTCAATACATGACAAAATTTTAAAGAGGGATTAGGGAAAATAAATAGTTTTGGGAAACAATCTTATTTTGGAAAGTTGTTTGGACAAATTTTAAAGTTCTACTTTTGGAACTGGATAGATTTTTAAGGTCATTATATGATACTATGGAGAGTATCTAATTACTTATTGCCTAATGGCGACTAGGATATTTGTAAGCTAGGGAATTGATTCCAACCTGATGTTGTTGATGTGATTACTCGCACCTATGTAAGAAGAGTGGTCAAGATACTTTTATTTGGCTCTTATCCACTAATAAGAGGTTTTCTATTAACTTCGCCTATTGTTTCATTAACATAGGTACCACTCAGGGAGGAAGTATAGTTTAAAGATCTATCTGGAGTGGACATTCTTGAGAAGTTTAAATCCTTTTTGTGGTTGGCCTCGCACAACAAGGTGCATGTTAAGGAAATTGATGAATCCAGTGCTAGGCCCAAGATTAGATCTAAGGTCAAGTCCAAACAAAAGCCCAAGAGTGCTATTACTAAGACTAGCATAAGTGGATTGGATAGCATGTGACTTAGTTATCTATAACTAATTAGTTAGAACTGAATTAGTTATTTTATGTAATGTAGTTATCTTTAAGCTATGAGTTGGCACTCATAAACTGGCCATTATGTTAATAATTCAGAGCCTATATATATGATAATCATGTATTTGAGGAGATTATCTCAGATCATATTTTTCTCAGTTTTATACTTTCTCTATCTTTGTTTGTTATTGATTTGGCATCAGAGTGAATGATCATGGAAGGGTCTAAGGTTTCTCTTTTTAGTTCTAGTCACACACTATTGATTGGAACCTCCAGTGGATGTCCTCTGATGTCTGCTATTCTACCTCAAGTACTAACAATGACAATAAAAGTCACTACATTTCTCATTAGCTTGAATGAAGCTAGCATGATCAAGTTAGACTATGCGAACTATATCTTATGGAGTTCTTAAGTTATGTCGATTGTTAAAGGACATCGACTTGATGGCTATATGTTTGGAACAAAGCTATGTCTAGATGAATACACTGTTACCAGTGATGAGGTAAAATTAATTTTGACTATAAAGATTGAATTGCTACTGACCAATTATTTTTTGGATGGTTACTTGGATTGATGAGTCCAGAGATTAGCTTACACATGCTTTATTGTGTTACTTTTACCCAAATATAGAGTGCTGTACAACAACTCATTAGTGCTTAATCTAAGGCTTGAGTGTTACTATTGAAAGCTAAGTTACATTGCATCAAGTACAAAAAGGTAGGTTAAGCATGGAAAAATAAATAGACAAGATGAAGGTTCTCTCAGAAAATTAAGCTTTAGCTAGTAGTCCATTATCGTCATTTGAATTGATCATGGAAACTCTTGCAGGTTTGGATTCTTACTATACTCTAATTTTTTTAAAACTCATTGATAAGGAGAATTTGACTTGGCTTGAGTTATAGTCTAGATTTTTTACTTATGAGTCCAGACTAGATCATATACATCGATCTTCTAAAGCAAATCTGGGTAGTGCTTTTGCTAATCTCTCTATTCAGTCTAACTCTATTTCACTTGATTAAAATAGGGGACCTACTCATAGTGGTATTAATAAGAATAATCATGGACAAGAAGAAGTTGGTTTCACAGAAACAGCAAACCTCTTGTTAAGTTTGCACTAACCTAGGACACATAGGTTTTGACTGTTTTTACAAATATGATAAGCAATTCATGAAATCAGAATATTCATATTCTATTGAACTTGTACCTTATTTTATGACACCTGAAGTAGTCAATGATCCAGGGTGGTATTTTGATAGTGGTGTAACTCATCATGTTAATTCTTCTTCTACTATCATAGTTGGATATGGCACTCTTGAGGTAGGAGGTAAACACAAATTA